ACCAAAAGGCAATGAGTACTTCTGCGAAGTAGACGAGGACTTTATCCTCGACTGATTCAACTTGACAGGCCTAAACAACGAGGTCGCGAATTACTCGCAGGCCCTGGATCTTATCACTGATAACCTAGGTAAGCTTTCACCCTCATCCAATTCTGCTCAGTTCATTGACAGATCACGCCAGACGACGACATCCAAGATGAACTCCGGAGCTCACTCGACGTCCAAGCACACCTCTTATACGGGCTCATACACGCCCGATGGATAGTCACAGCCCGCGGCCTCTCCAAAATGGTTCGTCCCCCTTGCTCCCCCCACTCATCTCACCCTCCAACCATCTAACCTCCACCCAGCTCGAAAAATACAAACGAGCCGAGTTCGGTCGCTGCCCACGCGTCCTCTGCCTCCAACAACCCCTCCTCCCCGTAGGCCTAACCGACATCCCCTACGAAAAATCCGTAAAACTCTACTGCGGTCGCTGCGAAGACCTCTACTCACCCAAATCATCCCAACACGGCTCCATCGACGGCGCATATTTCGGAACCACCTTCCCTCATCTACTCTTCCTCGTCTATCCAACCTTGATACCCCCAAAGAGCGGTCCGGTGGAGCTGGGAAGGGATGCGGCGGGCGCGGGAGGGGCAGGCACGGTGGATGGCAGGAGGACGAGGAGGAGGGTGAGGGAGGAACAGGTGGAGGTTAGTGCGGCTGAGGGGGGAGGCGAGGGGATTAATACCGCGAGTGCTGCCCTCAAGGCGGATCGGTATAAACCGAGGATATATCGGTTCCAGGTTAATGAGATTGCCAAGTTGCAGAGGTGGCAGGAGGCCGTGCGGGATTGGTGAGTTGTGCGTGTTGGGTAGTGTGATAGGAATGCTTATCCTTCCTAATAGGCAAGTGGGTCGACTTGAAGCGCTCGAGGAGAGGACGCCATAATATGACAATGTTTCCTCTTTTTTTCCCCCCTTCTTTCACGAACGTGCAGTCCCCCAGACTCCCATTCTGACCTGCTGTGTTAATAATTAATGGGGGCATGTACTTGATCACCTCTTGCTTAATTGACCAGATATCATGCTGGCTTTTGGAAAGCTCACTGCTGGATTTTGTTATACATGGCATCTGGAAGATGTTTCTGCCTGTTAAAGCAACTCCCACCATAACCCCTCTACATTCATACAGATGTACCTACTGGTGGTGACTAGCCTGAAGTCCCATCCTTACCCCCTTATTCTTCCAAGATATAACACAGATGTTAACAGCTGCCAATTGACAATCTCTATTGTGAGTTGGGTGAAATTGTTATTACACAGTGGAGTTGTATACTATCTTCAGGGGATAGCTCAAGGTAACATTAGTACTTGTATATAGGAACTGTTGAAGGTTGGCAAATGCATAAAGCCAAGAGTACCAAGTTGCCAAACACACCTCCAGCTCTGTTCTGATGATCACAGCCAGTGGATGGTCTGTGGCTGCAAAATCACAGAACTTTGAGCAGCAGCTGACAAGAAGATGAGGAGGGCTAGGCCATAGAATGGATGACACAACCATTGTACTTACACCCAATATCAGGTAATTCTTTCAATTCAACCTGGAATTTCTTCTCTGATAGCCTTAAACTTGTTGCACTAAGTCCATTGTATTGCACTAAATACTACATTCAAGAGACATGAGTATTGCACAGCTGAACAAGTCAAAATAAAGCAAAATTAATTGTGAAACATATCCAACATTCATCATCAGTATGATGAAATTTGTTCAGTTATGAAGTTATATCTATGTATCCTGTATTTTAGTTATGCATAAGAGTAGAGAGATGTGGAAAAATAGCATAGGTGCGAAAAGACATGAGGAGTCATCAGGACTGAGCTGTGTTACCTCTCTTCTTATGAATTCCAAGTGACAGCTTGGGTGTAAAATTTGAGATTCTCTTGGCAATATTGGAAAAGAGGTGACCTGGGAATATGAGCATCAAAAATATGGAAAAACAAGTAGCAGCTCAACTAAATACCTTTCTTTTCAGAATGAATGATTGCATCATCCAGATTAGTGGTAGGTGGAAGAGTAGCTGGAGCCCCCACCAGAACTCTGTTGCTGGCATGTGGAAATTCATTGTCCACATTTCCCTCCTCCATATCTTGGGTCACAGAGACTCCATGGCCTGTATTGTGAACTTGGTTCTCTGCATCATCCATCTTTGTGGACTGACTCTTGGTTTTCTGTGTTGCTGCTAGATTCTGCATGGCTATGATTGTGTGTCGGTGGTCTTCTGCATAAATCTTTCTCCTAACATCCAGAACTTGGACCTCCAGCTGCTCTGCTTCTGTATATTTTCCCAGGTCTCTGTATGTTAATGCAAGATTTCCCATGGCTAAGATTGTGTCTGGGTGTTCTTCTCCAAGAATTTTCTTACTGGCATCCAGAACTTGGACCCCCAGCTTCTCTGCTTCTGTATGTTTTCCCAGGTCTCTGTATGTTAATGCAAGATTTCCCATGGCTAAGATTGTGTCTGGGTGTTCTTCTCCAAGAATTTTCTTCCTGGCATCCAGAACTTGGACCCCCAGTTTCTCTGCTTCTGTATGTTTTCCCAGGTCTCTGTATGTTAATGCAAGATTTCCCATGGCTAAGATTGTGTGTGGGTGTTCTTCTCCAAGAATTTTCTTCCTGGCATCCAGAACTTGGACCCCCGGCTTCTCTGCTTCGTATGTTTTCCCAGGTCTCTGTATGTTGATGCAAGATTTCCCATGGCTAAGATTGTGTGTGGGTGTTCTTCTCCAAGAATTTTCTTCCTGGCATCCAGAACTTGGATCCCCGGCTTCTCTGCTGTATGTTTTCCCAGGTCACTGTATGTTGATGCAAGATTTCCCATGGCTAAGATTGTGTCTGGGTGTTCTTCTCCAAAAATTTTCTTCCTGGCATCCAGAACTTGGATCTCCAGCTTCTCTGCTTCTGTATATTTTCCCAGGTCATTGTATGTTAATGCAAGATTTCCCATGGCTAAGATTGTGTCTGGGTGTTCTTCTCCAAGAATTTTCTTACTGGCATCCAGAACTTGGATCTCCAGCTTCTCTGCTTCTGTATGTTTTCCCAGGTCACTGTAAGTTGATGCAAGATTTCCCATGGCTAAAATTGTATCTGGGTGTTCTTCCTGAAGAATTTTCTTTGTAGCATCCAGAACTTGCATCCTCAGCTTCTCTGCTTCTGAATGTTTTCCCAGGTTTCTGTATGTTGATGCAAGATTTCCCATGGCTAACATTGTGTCTGGGTGTTCTTCTCCAAGAATTTTCTTACTGGCATCCAGAACTTGGATCTGCAGCTTCTCTGCTTCTGTATATTTTCCCAGGTCACTGTATGTTGATGCAAGATTTCCCATGGCTAAGATTGTGTGTGGGTGTTCTTCTCCAAGAATTTTCTTCCTAGCATCCAGAACTTGGACCCCCAGCTTCTCTGCTTCAGTATGTTTTCCCAGGTCTCTGTATGTTGATGCAAGATTTCCCATGGCTAACATTGTGTCTGGGTGTTCTTCTCCAAGAATTTTCTTCCTGGCATCCAAAACTTGGACCCCCAGCTTCTCTGCTTCTGTATATTTTCCCAGGTCTCTGTATGTTAATGCAAGATTTCCCATGGCTAAGATTGTGTGTGGGTGTTCTTCTCCAAGAATTTTCTTTCTGGCATCCAGAACTTGGATCTGCAGCTTCTCTGCTTCACTTGAATATCCTTGTTCACGGAGTAACCAGCCAAACCTTTTATAAGCATCATCAAAGTAATTGTTGTTATACTGCATATTCTTTCTGACATGTGTCACCAAAGTTCTCCTAAAGCCATATGACTGACTTTCATCATTTTTTAGAGAAGCAGATAATATAGCAAATGCCAACAAAGAGCTTTTTTGCTTTTCACTGACACTCATCCTATCCCCACCCCATGCATTTACCAGTGGATGCATACTATGCACCCTACCAGATGCATCTTTCTTGATTAAACAGAATGACAGTAAGACTCGAACCCCCTCTTTAAAGTGTAGATTATCCCAAGTACCATCCATATTGAGTGACAGCAGTTTGTGATCTAGAACAGAATGTGCCAGTGGTAAGTCAGGGTGAGTCATTGTTTGATTTTTTTGTGTAGCAGCATAGCAAAAAATTTCTTCACTGACACTCTCATGATGAAAAAATGGAAACAATTTCAGTAGAAATAATGCACTGTCAGCTGCTCTAGCTTTGTGAAAATCATGAGATCCAGCCCTCTTTTGGATTTCCTCATGTGATAACTCCCAAGTTCCATAGACACTTTTGTTATATTTAGATGCCCCAGTGAATTCAGAATGTGATAACAATGTCTCTCGATGATGGATATATTTATCAAGATAGTCTCCAATGTTTGAAGCTCCAGAAGCAATGAAAGCACCAGCCTGATCAACAGCAAGAGGTAAACAACATAGCTCTGCCACAATCTTAGAAGCTTCTGCTTTAAAATCCATACTCAAACAGCTAGCTTTCAGAAGTAGTACAATAGCATCCCTTTCTTCCAACTGTGTCACCTCAAGAGAATTCTCTGGTGAAGTCAAGCATTGCATGCCAGCATTGCGACTAGTGATCAGAATGTTTCCCCATCTACCAGGTGGAAAATATCCCTCTAGCTCAGCAGGAGATAGAACATCAGCATTATCAAAGACCATGAGATAGTTCTCTTTCAAAGAGCCAATCCAGTGCAGAGCAGATTCAGGTGACCCATTCAATACCAAAGCCTTAGCTTCAGGAAGAAGACAAATGCCCTTAAGCCCCTGTAGAATGCTGCCAGCAGAAGATGCATCAATCCAGAAAACAGTATAAAATCTGGGGGTAGCAGCCTTCAGCAACAAAGATCAGGCACATGTGATAATGTGCTCACTCATCAGACATTTCCTCAATAAACTTCAAACAAATTTGAGTCTTTCCAATACCTCCCATTCCATGCAGTAGAAAGTACTTTCTTTTCTGAACACCATCCGTGGAATTAGCGAAAAAATGTTCCTTGAGTTTTTTGATAATCTCCATTCGACCTGTGAACCGAGTGCTCGGGTTTGGCACAAGGGGGATTACCGCATCAGCTATCGCTAAGTTGTTATAGATGTTTATCTGCGAGAAATTCAGGCCATCAGCTTGCTCTACGAACAAAAACCCGACAATTTCACACACGGTGCTGGCTGCGTAGATTGTGCCGCTCACGACAACGTCACGAGCGCCCGGAAAAATATTCGTTTCGCTCGTGCTGAGATGGAGAAGATACTGGTAGATGGAAGGAATCTGAAGTGGGCGAAGGAAAGAAACGAGTACCTGACGCCCGGAGACCCCCAATACTTCCACGTGTTGAGCACAGCGGTTGGCAAACACGACGATGTTTGTTAGGAATTCCGTTTGTGCTGGAGTTGCCCTCTCTCAGTCGCACAATCAAATGGCAACCTCACGGACCTCTACATACAAGCAGAAGGGTGACTTGGTCTACGGTTCAAGAGAAAAGCATCTCAAATGACTTCTTCCCCTTTGACCGAAACGAAGAAACACAAGATTCCGAACGTACCGGCTCCCTAAGGTTCTATCTACTTCATTTCAAGTGTGCTGCGGTGCTGACACGCTTCACAGTCAATAATGCCTCTACACCTCCTCAGTCCATCCCTGTGACGCGTGCACACACCCTCTACCTCGACCGTCCATCCCTTACACGCGCTTTTGACCCACTTCTGCTCACGACAGGATCTACGACGAAGAAATTCCGCGAGGAGCTGCCCAAGATCCTGATGAACGGTGTTGGCGTGGGGGAAATCGAGAGGCGGTGTCGCATGAAAGGAGGAGGACCGGACGCGGACTCGCCCAACACCTCCACTACCTTCGGAATCATGAAAGAAATGCAAAGGGTCTGTTCGTCCACGGCCAGCTGTCCTTGTTCTCACCTTGGAAGTCCATCTGGAAGTCTTCATGGACAAACTGCCGCTGTGACAGTTAGCCGTCAGTTTGGCTTGTCAAGCAAGTTGCGCGGTACAACGGACGAACGCGACTGGATGCAGATATTCCGCGAAGACGTTATCGAAGCTCAGTACGTTTCGTGTCCCCTCAAAAATCATACCAAACTGATTTTGGGCCTCAAATCAGGTACAAGGCGGTACTACCAGACCAATCTGCCAACTCCCCAGCCACCGAACGACCCGTTGAAACCGCCAACCATTTTGCGTCCTATCTAGCATTTCCCGTCACTTTCCACGGCCTCAGGCTGCAGTAACGCAACGAAGCCACACGCGGCTACACTTGCTCGCTCTCGTTCCCTGTCCACATCTCTCGAGCAGGAACGAAAAGAGCGAAAGAACGCGCGGGGAGTGTGGAATTTAATAAGAAACGCGTGTTGAAACGAGCGGTTAGCATGTCGCGGGTGTTCAAGCCCCAACTGAGAATGCAGCGTACAGAGGTCAAGGAGTGGCGGTTGGGCAAGGGAAGGAGAAGGCGCGTGGGGAGACGAGCTCGAGGGACGTGGATGTGACTTTGGTGGAGGAACCGCGTGCGAGGTCTTCTTCGCAGTCTCAAGCGCAATTCCAGCTGAATTCACAACCGGGAGTCAACGACAAGCGACTGGACGGTCTGCTTCGTCGTCATTTAGGGCTGGGGGCCTGTTTTCTCATCTCGAGGCTAGAGACTACAGTCCTCTCCTAAGATGGACCGCAGTTACAAAAACCATGCTGTTCCATAACACCCCGTCGAACACCTCGGCCAAATTTCAGCTGCAGGAAAGTCCATCCCCACCCGCACCAAGGTCCCAAAAAGCATAGCCTAGTTGCAGCTCCTCCGCTAGTCCCCCCAGCCAACCTACAGGACATTCGTTCAACCGGGACAATCTACGTGTCCAGTAGCAGCGTTCCCAAATCCAGACCTCGGACGCTCTGAACACACTTGAGTAAAAGGAGCCAAAGCCTCTCAGTACACTCCCTCTTGATGTCTTAACGCATCTCCCGTTGCTTCAACACCTACCGATGGACACGTTCACAACATACAGCGCTTATTCTGCGGATGTTGAGGACAACACTAAGTTCACGATACCCGTTGACAAAGAGTCAGGCGGAAGAGGGAATCATGCGTACTGCATAATTTCATGAGCTCCGGCGTACCCAACTGCACCTGTTCCAGTGAATCGACAAGTTGGGCTTTCAGTCCTTACCGTAGGTATCTTATCTCTCCTTTTCGGCGCCGTTTTACTAGGATCCTTCTTGTGTCATCATTATCATTATTGCCTCAGATTCTTTTTGGACAGTCCTCTTTTTTTCCCTGAGTCATTGGCGGCGTTCAATACTTATCATTTTGTTCTGTTACTTACACATTGTTTTTGATAAATGTTTCCTTGTGCATACTTAGTATATCTCTGTATTATAGTGCAATCCTTCTACCCGTCTGTCTATCACAGGGAAACATGGAAAAATACATTCGCATTTCGAGGCTAGACCGCCAGATGACCAATGAAATGTCGAGAAGCCGAAGGAAAGATAACATACTATCGCTTGTTGACAATAAGCCCCTATGGCCAGCCGTAGATTTGTGGGCATCATATCGGCGCTTGACGTACCTGTACCTGATAGGAAGCAAATTCAATGAGCATGAGCACCAGAAAAAAAGGAAAAAAGACACTATACATGCCGAGTTCTGAAAATCTGACAATCCAACACGAGTGCAGAACGTACTTGGCACTCAACGAAGGACCCACCCGCTAGATGCGAAAAGAGGACCAGCATAGTGTCTAATTCGGCTTTCAAGGCTTTGAAGATTGCCTTGCTACGCCCGCTGAATGTCTTTGGCGTGGTGGCGCGAACTACGAGAATCTTCTCTCGTGCTGGAGGGAAGAGTATCTTCATAATTTTGGTGATTGGCGAGTCGCTTCTGGAGAGAATCGCCCGAGTCTTCCAATTGCCCATCTTGGGCCTCCCAAACCCGAACAGGTCCCTAGCCCAATATGAAGACGAAGTAGACCGACCAGCCGCCAGTCGTTGACCCCCTTTCGATTGTGAATCCACCTGGCATTGCACTTGAGACAGCGAAGAAGGCCTCGCACGCAGCTCAGCAGGCATTTCTTCCACAAAAGCCGCACCCACGTCCCTCGAGGTCGGTCGTCTTCCCAACCGCCTTCTCCTCTCCTTTCCCAACCGCTAACTCCTTCTTGCTCTCCGTCCGTTGCATCTTGGGCATGTGCTTCAACACGCGCGACATGTTAACCTCGCTGTTGAACACACGTTTTTTATCGACCCCCACCGGTCCCCGCGCGTTCTTTGTGTCTTCGTTCTTGCTCGAGAGAGATGGACAGGGAGCGAGAACGAGCAAATGTCGCCGCGTGTGCTTTCGTTGTGTTACTGCGGTTTGAGGTCGTGTTGTCTGGAAGTAGATGGGGCGCGGGATAGTATTTGGGGAGGGTCAGCCGTTTGAGCAGAGGTGGATCGTTCAGTGGCTGAAGACGATGCGCGATCTGACAAGGGCTGCGCGAAGACTTTGGACCGGAGGGTGGCACATTACCGCCTTATTTTGAGGCCCAAAATCAGTTTAGATTGATTTGCTAGGGGACACGAAACGTACTGCAACTCGATAGTGACTTTGCGAAATATTTGCACCCAGTCTCGTTCGTCCTTTATATCGCACAGCTTGCCTGATAAGTCAATGCGGGCAACTGACTGCCACATTGACAGTTTGTCCATGAATATCTTCCAGACTGCCTTGAAGGTGAGAAAGGGACAGCTGGCTGGGGACGAATAGTCCTTGCGTTTCTTCGGCCATCCCAAAGGTGGAGGTGGTGGAGCGGGTCCAGGTAGTGATAGTATCTGTACTCTTCCAACAGTTTTAATTCTGGCAACGAAGAAAACGCGTGAAAAACAACTCACCCTCGCCTCTTCATTCGATCCAACGAAAATTTCCGCCACTTATCATCTACCCATGATGCCACGGAACGTGCCAAGTCATCCTCCTCGGCCTTTTCATGCGACACTGCGTACCACATCACCGTTCCCTCTATTTCCCCCGGGCCACCGCCGTTCATTGACATCAGGATCTTGGGCAGTTCCTCGCGGTATCTCTTCGTCGTAGATCCCGTGGTGAGCGGAAGTGGATTAAGTAATGGGTGGATGGTCGACGTAGAGGGTGCATGGACACATTATAGGTATAAACCGAGGACTGTAAAGCGTGTCATGACCGCAGCACACGTAAAATACCGTTGAGAGAACCCAAGTAGCAATTGAAGGTACTTACGATCGAAAAAGAGACCGTTCTGGTGTTTGCTCATTTCGGTCAGAGGCAAGATGCTTTTCTCTTGAACTGTAGACCAGGTCATCCTCCTGCTTAATTCTAGTGAGTGAGGGAGGTCTGTGAGGGTTGCCATTTGAGGGTGCCGGCGATGGTGCAAGGTCAAAGAGGAACGGCCCGCCGCGGCAACTCCGTCACATCCTCGACATTCTGCGTACCACCGACGTGGAGCGTATATCCCACGTAAACTCCCTTTTTGACGAAAATGGGCTCAATCTATGCGGCAAGGACCTTTTCCTGGGTATGCTCTTATCCCTTTACTCCCTTTCCGTCTTGCGTCGCTTCATTCAAACAGCATTCAGCTCTCCAAACACTTTCCTCTCCTTAACTGAACTTTCATTCAGCGGAACACGCGTACACGATTTCGACCTCATCCATATCCACCACCTCCCCAAGCTCTCCATTCTCTTTCTGAATAATACAGGCACAGGAAACGAGGCGTCAGTCTCCCCCGTCCCTCTGACCCCCTCGTTACTTACCTACACGCAGTGTATACCTCCTCATCCCCCTCAAGCGCACCCTAACCCAACTAACACTCGCCACCAACCCCGATATCGACAGTACATCCGTACCCGCCATCCTCCTCCTCTCTAAGCTATGTTACCTCTCCATCGCAGATACAAGCATCGATATGAACGGGTTGAGGACGTTGGTAAAGAGGGTGATGAGGAGGGGTGGGTTGTGGATATTGAGGTTCCGTGGGGGTGCGAGGATTATATTGACAGTATGAGTTTTTCCTTCTTCGCACCGTTTTGATGCTGATTGGATTGTTTGAAAGATAGTACCTCCTGCACCCTTCCTCCCCGTTGATAACCGACCCAGAGGCGTGCAGCGCCTTATCGTGCGCTGCGCTTCGACGTAATTTATCTGCTCATGCGGAGAGGAATCCGGCGATTGTGGTGGGTGGGACGAGGGATGAGATGGTGTTGAGGTTGGAGGGATTGTTGAGGACGAGGAAGCTGGATTTGTTGGTTAGGAGGATGATTGGAATTGAGGATTGATGTTGGTGTTGGTGTGAGTGAGGAGGCAAGTTTTTGAGTGGGTGTCGGGTTGTGTTTTTCTCAGTGTTTTCTGCTTTTGTTTTTCGTTCGTTCAAGTGTTGTGTGTGTGCATACATGTTGTTTTAATGTTTTTGCCTATGAGGCTTTTCAATAAGGATCTTCAAAGCAACAAGGAGCCTAATAGTTATATGTACAGATGGCATCCAATATCAGCCGCTCTTCCCCAATCACCCTTCTTAGGCCCAACAGGCGTCGGTCTCCTCGGTGGATGGCTCACATCCCCACCCATTTCCACTGGTACCAATTGCGGGGTAGGCGGAAAGCCTTCCCATGCCCATCGCAGTCGCACCACCCGACGTCGACCTTGACGGTAGGCCCAAGCACGTATACCCCCCAGTGCCGAAGGGTGCCCAAGCCCTATCCCTGCTCCATGGCCAGCTACGATTGACGGGTTGGAGGAAAACAGGATCAGAACCCATCGTAAGACAGAGGCACTCGACGCCGAAGAGAAGAAAGGTTGTTCAGATGATGAAAAGAACAGGAAGTCGTTTGAGGCGGGTGACAAACAAACCACAGATGTGTTGGGTCAAACTCACATCGCGTCATAGATCGCTGGTGGTTCGGCTGCAGGGGTTGCCGCCATTGCTGGTGGTGTATACCCACAAGAAACACGAGGAGCACAATGAAGAGGTGCAGTGTTTGCTGTTCGTCGCATCCTATTCGCTTCGCTCGTTGGCTTGTCACAGAAAGGGGCAGAGAACTGGGGAGCAAGGTGTTGAAGGAAGCCGAAGCGCGTACCGCCTACTTCTATCGAAGAGGGGGTGGGGTCCCCCAAATTGGGTCTTGAACCAGGTCCGGGCAGCGCTATTCAAGAAAAGTCATAAACTTTGTATATTTGTAGGGCGTCGAGGTATGTTCATCTTTGCATTGGAGTCGTCTTGTCCATTGTAACCATACATGATGTGGGGGTGGAAGAACGAGGTGCAAATATGACGAGCCCGCAAAAGGGGACGGGACGCCCTGAGGAGCAGGGGTAGGGAACCCACCCGTAAACGGCGTATCGGCATAACTAGCATACGGCAGCATGCTTGAGCCTTCCAAAACCCAGCCACTCCCTTGAGGAACCATCTTCCCGCTCTTGGGCAGTTCGCCCCCGCCCCATTTCGATCTGAGTCCCACTCTGGCGGCGATCCCTGGCGTTTGGTCTGCCGCTCACTACTTTTACTGCGCGCGTGGCTATTCGGAACGGCGTACCCCATGCAGACGAAAACTCCCCCTATGACGCCGATGCAGCGGATGAGGACTTGAAGAAAGGTTGTGGTTCATTGGTGTTGTGTTATTGCAAGCGGGTCTGAATCGAATTTGAAGAAGATGCCTGGGGCGCCTTGGTTATGCTGCATTATGCGGGTGTAAAAGGGCGATGTAGGTTGCCAGGACGACGAGTAAGAAGTATTGATATGCTACGAAACCTGTTTTGGAGGGATGTTAGGTGGGGTATTGGGAAGTGAACTGGTACCTACGTTCGTCTGTGGACTCGAAAGAGTTCTACAATAATTGGGTGATGTCGGGGAAATGGAAGAAGACTGTGATGTGAAAGAGGCTCATCTCTAAGGGCAACGTAAGCCTGGATGTTGGGGAAGGGGGAAGGACGTACGCTCATGGTCTACATGTTCATAGCTGGCATAACCATGGCCGAGAGAGTGATGTGAAGATTGGCTTTCGTTCGTCATAAGTCAGGGAAAGTCCCAAGGAATGGGATTAGAAGCAAGAGAACCCCAGACTCTACACTCGTTGCCGTGTGGACGTTGGCTTGAAGTTGCACTTGTTTCTTCGGAACAAATTGGCGCACAAACCGCGGGATTTCCAGGATTGTGGAATGACTTGACGGGCAGACAAAGTTTCCAGAGTGTTCCCTTAACATTGATCAGTTAAGACGGTTGGAGACTGTAGGAAAAGAACTCACTTGTGCGCCATCGCTTGTCCAATGTCAAGCACGGTCTAAATACAATGTTAACTCCCGGTATAGCTCATCTGACAGAAGCTTGGGGAAAGCATCGAACTCAGCCAATGGCGCTGGCACCGCCGAATCCAGCTTGTTGACAAGCGAAGAGTCGTCGTACATCGTCGGCGCGGTCAGCGAGCGCCGTCAATACGATAAGTAGAAAAGAAAGTGTTCTTCAAGATGGACAGCCAAGCAGATAGAGAAACTTGAATTTCCGAAACTCGGAGGAGCGGCATGTAGCTTGGCACATAGTCAGTTCGGGTTCATTGCTAGGAACATAGAGAAACCAATACCAAATGAAAAGGAACATACTAGAGGGGTGGAGACAAGTAATAAAAGAACACCCACCAGGCCGCCTTCTTCAACAAGTCTGCCAATAGCACAGGGAAAAGCAACGGTGGCGCGGCTAAGTAATAAATTGGTTGGGATTCTCAACTTCTGGGGAGGAACGTGTGGTCATTGGGACTACAAGGACCGAGACAAAGAGGAACTCCCACTGAGAAGTACAACACCGTCATCTTACGCAATACCGTCGTCCGGATCAGGCTGGGATTGAAAGCCGTTTGTGTGGAGGCGTCAGGCACTCGTCTCTTTCCTTCGCCCCTTCAGATTCCTTCCATCTACAAGCGTCTTCTCCACCTCAGTATGAGCGGAACGAATATTTTCCCGGGCGCTCATGACTTTGTCGTGAGCGGCACAATCAACGCAGCCAGAATCGTGCGTGGAACTTCGGGTTCTCGTAGAGCAAGCTGATGGCCTCGATTTCTCGCAGATTACCATCAATAACAACCTTGGCGATCGAGCGATATCCGATGCAGTAATGCCCCTTGTGCCAAACCCGAGCACTCGGTTCACAGGCCGCATGGAGATTGTTGTGAAACTCCAGGAACATTTTTCTAATGAGGGCTTTGAGAAGAGAAAGTACTTTCTACTGCATGGAATGGGGGGTATCGGAAAAACTCAAATTTGCTTGAAGTTTATTGAGGAAATGCCTGAGCAGTGAGCTCATTAACACATATGCCTGACCTTTGTTGCTGAAAGTTTTCTTCCTGCAGGTTTTCTACTGTTTTCTGGATTGATGCATCTTCTGCTGGCAGTATTCTACAGGGACTTAAGGGCATTTGTCTTCTTCCTGAAGCTAAGGCTTTGATACTGCATGAGTCACCTGAATCTGCTCTGCACTGGATTGGCTCTTTGAATGAGAACTATCTAATGGTCTTTGATAATGCTGATATTCTATCTCCTGCTGAGCTAGAGGAATATTTTCCACCTGGTAGAAGGGGAAACATTCTGATTACTAGTCGCAATGCTAGCATGCAATGTTTGACTTCATCAGAGAACTCTCTTGAGGTGACACAGTTGGAAGAAAGGGAAGCTATTGTATTACTTCTGAAAGCTAGCTGTTTGAGTACTTCCAGCATGGATTTAAAAGCAGAAGCTTCTAAGATTGTAAAAGAGCTTTGTTGCTTACCTCTTGCTGTTGATCAGGCTGGTGCATTCATTGGTTCTGGAGCTTGTAACATTGGAGACTACCTTGATAAATATCACCATCACCGAGAGACATTGTTATCACATTCAGAGTTCACAGGAGCATCTAAATATAACAAAAGTGTCTATGGAACTTGGGAGTTATCATATGAGGAAATCCAAAGGAGGGCTGGATCTCATGATATCCACAAGGCCAGAGCAGCTAACAGTGCATTATTTCTACTGGGATTGTTTCCATTTCTGCATCATGAGGGTATCAGTGAAGAAATATTTTCCTATGCTGCTACACAAAAAGATCAAATGCTGTCTCACCCTGACTTACCACTTGTACATTCTGTCCTAAATGACAAATTGCTATCACTGAAAGAGGATGGTCCTTGGGATAATTTTATTTTCAAAGAGGGAGTCCGAGTCTTACTGTCTTTCTCCTTGATCATGAAAGATACATCTGGTAGTGTGCATAGTATGCACCCACTGGTCAATGCATGGGGTAGAGACAGGATGAGTGTGGATGAAAAGGAAAGATGCTCCTTAATGGCATTTGCAACATTATCTGCTTCTCTCAAAAATTATCAGAGTCAGTCATATGGTTTTAGGAGGACATTGGTAACACATATCAGAAAAAGTGTACAGCATAACAACAAGTACTTTGATGATGCATATGAAAAGTTTGGTGGGGTATTGAGAGAGCAGGGATATCCAAGTGAAGCAGAGAAGCTGGAGGTCCAAGTTCTGAATGCCAGAAACAAAATCTTTGGAGAAGAACACCTACATACAATATCAGCTAAGGCAGAACTTGCATGCACATACAGTAATCTGGGTAAATACATAGATGCAGAGAAGCTGCAGGTCCAAGTTTTGCATGCCAGAAACAACATTCTTGGAAAAGAACACCCACATACAATCTTAGCTACAGCAAATCTTGCAGATACATATGGGGCGCTGGGAAAATACAGAGAAGCAGAGAAGCTGCAGATCCAAGTTTTGCAGGCTAGGAAAAAAAAATTTGGAGAAGAACACCCACATACAATCACATCTACAGCAAATCTTGCATGTACATACAGTGATGTGGGAAAATACACAGAAGCAGAGAAGCTGCAGATCCAAGTTTTGCATGCCAGAATCAAAATTCTTGGAGAAGAACACCCACATACAATATTAGCTACAGCAAATCTTGCAACTACATACAGTGCTCTGCGAAAATACACAGAAGCAGAGAAGCTGCAGATCCAAGTTTTGCATGCCAGAAAAAAAAATCTTGGAGAAGAACACCCACATACAATCATAGCCACAGCAAATCTTGCATCTACATACAGAGACCTGGGAAAATACAGAGAAGCAGAGAAGCTGGAGATCCAAGTTTTGGATGCCAGAAACAAAATTCTTGGAGAAGAACACCCACATACAATATTAGCTACAGCAAATCTTGCATGTACATACAGTGGCCGGGAACAATACATAGAAGCAGAGAAGCTGCAGATCCAAGTTTTGCATGCCAGAATCAAAATTCTTGGAGAAGAACACCCACATACAATATTAGCTACAGCAAATCTTGCATGTACATACAGTGGTCTGGGAAATATACAGAAGCAGAGAAGCTGCAGATCCAAGTTTTGCATGCCAGAATCAAAATTCTTGGAGAAGAACACCCACATACAATCTTAGCTACAGGCAAATCTTGCATCTACATACAGTGCTCTGGGAAATACACAGAAGCAGAGAAGCTGCAGATCCAAGTTTTGCATGCCAGAAATAAAATTCTTGGAGAAGAACACCCACATACAATTTTAGCTACAGCAAATCTTGCATCTACATACAGTGGCCAGGGAAATACAGAGAAGCAGAGAAGCTGGAGATCAAAGTTCTGGATGCCAGAAAGAAAATTCTTGGAGAAGAACACCCACATACAATATTAGCTACATCAAATCTTGCATGTACGTACAGTGGTCTGGGAAACTATGCAGAGATAGAGAAGCTGCAGATCCAAGTTTTGCATGCCAGAACAAAATTTTTTGGAGAAGAACACCCACATACAATTTTAGCTACAGCAAATCTTGCAACTACATACAGAGATCTGGGAAGATACAGAGAAGCAGAGAAGCTGGAGATTGAAGTTCTGCATGCCAGACACAAAATTTTTGGAGAACATCACCCAGCTACAATTTTAGCTACAGCAAATCTTGCATCTACATACAGACATTTGGGAAAATACACAGAAGCAGAGAAGCTGCAGATCCAAGTTCTGCATGCCAGAAATGAGATTCTTGGAGAAGAACACCCACATACAATATTTGCTACAGCAAATCTTGCATACTACATATACAGAGCTGGGAAAATACACAGAAGCAGAGAAGCTGGAAATTCAAGTCCTGCATTCCAGAAACAAAATTTTTGGAGAAGAACACCCAGATACAATCATAGCTACAGCAAATCTTGCATCTACATACAGACACCTGGGGAAATACACAGAAGCAGAGAAGCTGCACATCCAAGTTCTGCATGCCAGAAAGAAAATTCTTGGAGAAGAACACCCAGATATAATCAGTGCTACAGCAAATCTTGCATCTACATACAGAGCTATGGGAAAATACACACAAGCTGAGAAACTGAATATCCAAGTGTTGCATGCCAGAAACAAAATTCTTGGAGAAGAACACCCAGATACAATATCGGCAAAAGCAGGGCTTGCATCTACATACAGTAAACTGGGAAGATACACAAAAGCAGAGAAGCTGCAGATCCAGGTTTTGCATGCCAGAAATAAAATTCTTGGTGAAGAACACCCAGATACAGTCTTGGCTATGACAAATCTAGCATTCACATACAGTCATCTGGGAAAATACATAGAAGCAGAGAAGCTGGAGTCCCAAGTTCCAGATGCCAGAAATGAAATTCTTGGTGAAGAACACCCAGCCACAATATCAGCCATTGACAATCTTGGATCCACATACAGTAATCTGTTTAAAACTCTGCTTACTTCCAGCACCTCTTCAGACATCCCATTCTCTACTTTTCCCCAAGCAATTGCAGAAGGTTCATCAAGTCATAAATTATGCACATGCCCCACAATGATCACACCCCCTCCAAAAGCCTCAGAGAAACGAAAAGCAGAGAATGCCATTGATGATGAAAGGCCAAGCAAGAAAACCTAATGTGCAGGTATGAAATCTCTACCACCATATCATTCAGTTGATTGTGAAGGGCATGTAGATTGTCTGAAGTAACCCCAATGGGTCCTATTAATCTTTGAGCCACTGATCATGTACTCTACAATTATGACTATGTATATTTCATCTTACCATTCAACTGGTATGTAATATACAAACTCTTCTCCATTATCACCTACAGGTACATAATGTAAACATCAAATCTTTATGTAACTTGTGATCAAAGTTCTAGTAACTCTTCAAAGTCAGCTTTGCTGATACAGTCATCAACTGTTCAATGACACAAACATTTGTATTGACTGAATAACATCCCTCATACATTGGCTTCTCAAAAACTGAATTGTACAAAATCTGATGGAGTATTTACACTACACAATCTAGGGCTTTAAAATGATTATTTTACCTAGTTATTGCAAACTAAGGTTTTTGGTTGAAACAGCATCAACACAACTCAATGACACAGTCACAGGTTACTTGACTGGGATACAGCATCAAAATTTGGTGCAACTTACATCTGAGAAATATTTTCCTTGAGGGATTGATGTCAATGCATCTTGAGTTCTCAAGTCTTGAACTGAGGTTGTTGTAGAAGTGGATCATGTTCTGCTCATGGAGCCTTTGTTATTTTGGCCCTGTACCATTGTTTTAAGTTTTTCATTCATTTTCATTCATTTTCTATTCATCCCAAGCTTGTTACTAAAGAGTCAAGAGTTAGTGCAAAGTTTTATTTTGTCAGGAAACTTCATTTCAACATCATTGGTGGCTGTGCAAAAGCTCGCCAGTCAAATGATGTGATCTCTGGCATCTTGCTTCAAACACCTTTGTCAGATGACATCATCACTGGCAGATTCTTTCCCTTTAGCTTCAATTTGAAGGAATTTGACTTAGGATTTTATTTCAGACTTGTATGCATATTTTATTATCTTCTTCTTTTTGGAGGTCTTATCAGTGCCCCTCTAATTCCTGCTGGAATCTGGTCATTTCAGTGGAATGAAATTGGCAGGAAGGGTTGCTATTTTTTTCATTCTGGCATTTTATTATTCCAGTGGAATTCAGGCATTTTGGAGTAGAGACCAGAATGCAAAGAAATCTGGCTATTTGTTTGTTTATTTTATTACTGTTACTGAGGTCTTTACCTTCCCTGGTATAATCCATGTGGAATCCCCCTTAAATTCCAGATGGAATCCATAGAATTAATTTTGGCTGAAGCACAAGCCAATTTTTTATTCCAGAGACATCATGGATTCTATATGGATTCCAGCAGCATTCCATATGGATTCCAATGGATTCCACATGGAATGGGGCATATCCATCCTGGATTCCATGGAACAGACCATATGGATTCCATGGAAGGGATTAATGCACTTCAGTCACCCATTTTTGGGTACCTATGAGGTACATCAATTCCTTGATTTAAGGTACCCATTCCAGGGTGGTATATGAGCTCAATACCAATACTATGGTACCATGGAATGGAAAACCCATACCATATCCCACTCATACCAATACCATGTTACCATACCATACCATGTCATCTCATACCATACCAAATGATCTCATACCATACCATACCATACCATCATACCAAAGCTGTCACAGGGTGTCTGGGGTCCTTTTTCAGAATATATAAATTATTTCTGCAGGCTGCAATACTGGTCCGTTGGGTGCCATTTTTTGTGGGAGGGTTCTTCAGGTTTTTCCTGAGATATTAAAATACAAAAGGAGGCTATATAGTCAAATCCATCATTGGAAAATCAGTTCAAATGAGCTTTATCCCAGCTTTTTCCATGCATCAAAAGCCTTTTATTGATACATATCTTTCCCAGTCCATTCAATTAGAACAATAATCATCACAATAGATGCAGTATTGTGATGGTGTGGTATTTGAGAAGCAAAGAAAAGAAGACATTTTGTGTATTGGCAATCAGTCCTGAACTATGCATGATACAATCCATTGGCAAAGCATGGACTTGAGCCAAATTATTATCCAACAGCCTAGGCTGAAATATGCACTTCAACCAATCAACTACATTGAGTACCACTTCACATATAATTCATTTCAAAAGCATGCAATTTGGATTCAAAAAGTGCAATGCTGTTGCTGTCAAAGAAGTATGTGTATATATTTACCCAATGTTCATTTAAAAACTACATATAATGGAATTAAGTATTGTCATCCTTAGTGTTTGGCCAAAGTCTTCATTATAAAAATATTTTGTCCAATCCAATAAAGCTGAGTGATTCTACCCAATCCAAAGTCTTGTCAATTGGAGAGCCAGGGCTACAGATTAAGGAAGCTCTTGTTGGTTATGACTTCCAAAAACCATGATACTATGTTCAGCCTTATTCATATCACATGTGGTATGATGATATCATACCATGATATCATACCACAACCATTCATACCATACCCTGGTATTGCAATGTCATACCATACCCTGGTATTGCCACCTCATACCATACCATGGTATTGCCACCTCATACCATACCATGGTATTGCCACCTCATACCATACCCTGGTATTGCAGCCTCATACCATACCATACCATGGCAGTGTCATGCAAGAACTATCATATAAAATGGAATGGTATCCCAGTGTCATGCCACACTCTTGATACACATCTAACTTAAACACTCCTGCCAACTAGAGATATCCATTCGCAATTGTACCAGTCTACAATGATATGAACTAACTACTAATTGTACTTGTCATTTCCTACCAGCTAGCTAATTGAATTTTATTGTTATTTCAAAACATAACCAAGCCTCAAATTGTATCATCCCATGAAAACTTCATTCCAACCTTTTTCCCACCAAACCTACCTATAATACTTCTGCCTTGACCTCTTTCGAGATGTTCCAACATCCAAGATATCATCCTCATCATCCTCCAGATCCTCCCACAAATCTTCACTCTCCCATCTCCCAAAGGCCAGCCCATTATCTGATACTCTGAATGCATCTGACACTGCCATTGATTCTGTCGCTTCTATAACATTGTTGTTGTCCACTTCTTCAACATTATATGTGCAATTTAACTGTTCATCATCACTTCCCTCTTCATCAACATTTTCTTGTGACAAACCCATCAATGCAGTCTCCATATCTAGTGTTTGGAAGTCTGGTCTCGTGACTGGAAAAAGACCGTAACCAGACCGGACCAAGACCGCAAAAGACCGGACCTGTGGTTACGGTCTTTTATTTTTGAAATGTAAAGACCGCAAAAAGACCGGTTAACGTGAACCGGTCTTGACCGGTTTGGACCGGTTTTTTGTAGCCCCTTAAATACCCTTTAAAACGCACCCAAGAACGTACGATTTGGTAAAAAAACGAGAGAGATATGAATTAAAATGTAAATTACTTTTGGGAATAATAGATGTACCAGACTTATTTTATAGAAGCACCAATACCTAACGGAATTTAACGTTCTTGGGCTCGTTTTGAAGCTATTAGAGATGTTAATAAATTTACCGATTCATAATTTTAAGATATTGGCCTAAAGACCGGTCATAAACCGGTTAAAACTGATGCAGACTGAAACCGGTCTATAGACCGCAAAAAACCGCGGTCTGCAGTCTTTTTGCGGTCCGGTCTGGTCTTTTGACTTCTGGGGAAAAGGCAGACCGGTTACGGTTACGGTTAACGCCCCTGGGCATCAAAAAACCGGACCGAACCAGACTTTCAAACACTATCCATATCCTTGATATCAGGTCCCCATCCTTTCAACATTGGATATGTGTCAGGAATCAAAGACACCTGTTCCCTCCACTGTGCACACAAACTCAAATGTCTTGACTTTCTGATAACCAACTGATGCTCAATGTCTTCATCCTCTGTAACAAATAACACTACAGTTAGAGACACCCTAAAAACAAATCAAAACAAGCTTACCACACATAACAATGGCCATATTGATAGCTTCCCACTCCTCCCTTGACCACTCCTGCAAGGCTGTTCGCTCTTGTTTGATTCTAGCCATCTCTTCAGCACATCTCTTGGCTATCAACATTGCTGTGATTCCTTCACAAATGTTCTCATTCCCAAGCCAGCCAGGTATAATCTCACTTTCATGCTCATCCACATCCAGAGCAAATAAATGCTCTTGATTTATTGGCACTGGGGCTATAGAATTACCAGAGGCCTTTCCCTCCTGGATTTGCTTTGTCATATCATAGCACATGTCATTGTACTTCTTTGCCAATCTAGCAATTGTTGGTTGCTGCCTATTAATTTGTTTCTGGACATGTGAATGTAATTTAGTCTCTATTAGAATATAAGTCAACAAACATTGACTGGTCTGTGTTAGAAAACTTACCATTGGAAGTTGTTTGTTGATATGCTCTCTCTAACCTTTCCAATTCAAATTTACGATTTCTCAAATGATCTCTGAGTCTTTGCTTAAGTGCCCTGGCATTAAGTTTCAATTGAAGAAACTTATTACCCATCAACTTTCTCAAATCATCCTGATCTTTCACCCCAAGCCTTTTCTTCTTTGTCTTTATATTTGCATCAATCACACCTTGCTTCTTCATGATTGCTTTACATGCAGCCAAAACATCTTCCACTGACATATCATCCTCATAGGCCCCTGAAATTAGCTGGTCATCAAGCCCTCCCAACTCTGTTGCAAAACTTTTCTTTGCAGTATATAATGCCAAAATTTCCTTAATTGCAATAATTGCAATATTCTTTGATTGTTGTGCCAAGGGCTTGGTCTGTGCAGCCACTTGCTGCTTCCATTCATTTTCAAGCAAAGAAATTTCAAACCCCAGTTCATTGAGAATTTCTTCAGCCTCAATTTTTCTTTCCAAGCAAGTCAACCATTTGCGTTGAAGCCATTTACCCATCATATCGAAAGACTTTTTATCCAGATGCTTGACCTGAGTATCAATGGTAAACAGCCAATGATAGAACTATTTGGCTCAATTATCAGATTATCTTCACATATATATGAGATGGACACTTACCCCTGCCACACGCATTGAAGGGATTAATAACTTGATAGCACTCCAGAAACGTTCACAACCCTCACCATCTGAGAGGCCAAACCCTTCACATTTATGAGGATGATAAACAAGTTGGCAGGGCCACTGGTGACCATATGCATGGAAAACCACAAGTGCAAAAAGGATTCTTGCCATGAATTCCTCCAGAAACCCCCAGATTTGGCAACATCTCTCCAACTGGCATCCAATGTCATACAAAATTCCAACTGTCATTGATAAAGGCAAATTCATAAATAGCATTTTTATCAATACCAGAGCATAGTATTGGCGTTCTCCAGCAGTAGTCATGTTTACTAGCCAGAGAACATGGTCATGACGACACAGCATGGCCATAAGACCTGTATCTGCAAAGAACTGTGTGCTGGCTTTAGTTCTTCTCTCATCTGCTGCAATAAAGGAGGCCAGGCATCCCTCCAAAGCTGAGACAGGGACCTTCATGCCAGGTTCATATGAGTCTTCAGCCGGTTGTCCATCAGATGGTACATTTAGTGTTTAAAGGTTCAGTTCAGTCCGGTTTTTTGCCCCAAAAACGCGCAACCGTGGACCGCAACCGGTCCAGGACTGACCCAGATATTGAGGGAACCGAACCGAACCACCTAGGACCGGTCTTTTGCGGTCCATGATACCGGTTCAGACCGATCCAGACCGGTTTTTTTTGCATATAATTTATTATATCAATATAAACCATTTGTATCTCAACCATTATTACTCTGAAAAATAAACGGGTTATATAAAATAGTAAAGCATATAAATACCCGTCATTCTACCAATTTTCAAGAGATTTAATGAAGATTTGACATAGCTATGACTGAAACTGAATTACATCTCCTAGAGACTTGGGTAAAATATGGATTTGGTTATATCTTTCTCAATTCTTAACCGTTTTTGATGAAACAAAAACCCAATAAACGGCAATAAACGTGGTTACAAGGCTATGTAACGCACGTGACCGTTTAACCGGTTGCAACCGATTAAAATCGGTCTTTGAACGGTTTTAAAAGATTTTCGAAATGAGGCAACCGGCAACTGGACTAACCCCAAATTGGGGCAACTGCAACCGAAAAAAAGACCGGACCATGGTCCGGTTCAGTTCGGTCCACCGGTTTTTTGCGGTCCTATGGACTGAACCTTTAAACACTAGGTACATTAGCTTTTTCTTTTCCTTTTGACTTCTCTGGTCAAACTGTCTCAACTAAAGCCTTCATCTCCCTTACATATTTCTCAGGCACAAATACTGTATCAGGATGCAGATTTTCAGGTCCCTTTGCCCCACCTTTTGCAGGGTTTCTTCTCTTGTGAGTAAAACAAGCATCAATGCATACAATGATATCAGCCCTTGAAATGTACCAGTCATTAGAACATATTATTGACCAATTACAAAACCTCACTTACATAAAATTTGGGTCATGTGGATTATCCCCACCAAAACAGAGAGGGCACCGTTTCCGCAAGTATTCACTTGGACGCTGAAGATCTGATTCACCATTTGTAGTATTCTTACTCTCATGAGACTCATCAGAGTCATCACTAGCCTCATCTGCCACTGAAGTAGGACTAGACAAAGGGGGAGGTTCATAGTTTTGGTTTCCCTCTATATCATCTGATTCAAGTGAAGACCCAGCCTCTGCAAGGTATTTTAGACAGCCCTCATTTATAACCCCAGAGATCAAAAGTTCTTTCTGGGCAATGAGATTGCCATACCACTGTAGTGCATTTCCAAAGCGATGTCTTATGGCATCTCTACTCTCAAGCTTATATGTACGAGAACTCAGAAATGCCTCAAGTGAGTCACACCATGCAGTAGTGTTTGGAGGTGAACAAACAAAAAGCTCATTAACAAAGTCCAGCATATTCAAATCCACAGCTAATGTTGGTCGAAGGGGTGAAGCAGGAAACAAACCCATGGCCAAGAGCTGAAAAACAGCAGAGCAGGAACAAACTTCCACAGAAACTAGTTCTTAGATGGAAGAAGCGATCAGTTATTACAAGTTGATATCTTAACCAAAAAGCAACTCACTATCAAAAAATACAGCAATAACATTCATTTTATGCCCAGTCCCATCACAAGAACAATGAGGTAACCTTCTATCTATGTTCTTTAAATTTTCAGACTCCCTTAACAAGCCCAGATAAGGATCCAATAGTTCTGGGATCAGTTTCAGAGCCCAGTTCCTCCACAAGGCCAACTTTTTGTCTAATCTCTTCTTTGGGGAAGCTTGTTCTGCAGGAAATACCAAAGGCTGAAGGACATCACTGGCAGAAACATCACCAGAATCCTCAGAGTCACCACCAGAGGACTCAGATAAACTATCCTCAGCAGTAGCAGCAGCCTCATGCAAATCAGCCCCAGTGGGCATTGCAATCTGAACAAATGACCCAAGAGGAGTCGTCAAGTCTTTCCTAGGTAATATCTGAATGCCTGGCAACCCATAAGGACAACGTGAGACATTAGAATCACTGGTAGATGCCCAAGCATGACCTGAGGACTTCTTCTTCAATGACAGAGACCCAATAGCAATCCCAGCCTTGCCCAAGTAACGGCTCTTGTTGAAAGCCATAGATTTTGCAAGCCCAACAAGCAAGGAGGTGAGGGGAACACAAAGCAAGGCTTACCCACGTACACCACTAAACCCCCAAAGAACCGGGTGCAAAAGCAAACACAAGATCATATTACATGTCATGCAGCGATAACAAGAACAACAACGAGGCCGACATGACAACAAAGTCCGAGAAATATGCAAAGTACAAAAACTACAAAGAGGCAGTGACTGAATCTGCAAAGGTGACCAGCGCCGGGCATGCAAGAGAACGAGGAGGAAGGTGACAAGGGATGATGGGAGCAAGACCGAAGTTGTCAAAGAATGACTGGCAGTAAAAGCTTGTACATGCTCTTCCAGTGCCTGAACATGTGCCTCTATTGGAAGGCGGCTAGCATCTCTTATTGAATCCGGCCCCTGGGCAGCCCTTCCATGGACACATCAACTTCGAGAGCGCCACCAGATGTCGGTTATGTTCTTCCAGATCAAATGAAGTCAAACCCAAGTCGCGATTGGGGATTTCGTTGATCATAAAAGAACCGAGCACATCCCCCAACATGGGGAATATGGTGAGAAGTTGCTCCACGCGAGACCTCACTGCTGCTTCGTCTGTGACACCCTCCTGGCCACGGTACAGGGTGTCCGCCAGGAGAGCATCCATGCTCAAGAGTTCAAACCAGAAACTCATGTGGCAGAGTTCTCAGAGAATCTCCTGCATAACCTCTGGGGTTAACGCCTGCTCAAGCTCCTGTGTTGTGCCCAGCTGTATGGTCGTGTCATAAAAAACCACCTGATCGATCAGGGTGTTTCACAAAGGGATTTCGTCCAGGTACGAATTTGATTTCTTGATGTGCTTCTTTCGGGACGAGCCACTGACCTTTCTCTGTTTCCCTTTCATGACAGGCTGGGGAGGCAACGATACGGAAGTAGTATCATCAAGATCCACTGCATGATCGATGTCATCAGCATCTGGGAAGGGAATGATTCTCATGAGGAAATTCCGCCATTGCTGGGCAGTGATAGGTGGCAGTAACTTTGTTCCTGTTGCCAGCATGTATGCATGATGAGCCCAGACTGCCAGCCAAGTAGTGGTGTACAAAGCGCGATTCTTGGAGTTCAAGAAGATATCGGGTTTAGGGTATTTGTATCCAATGCCCACATCTCCCGGCTGGCATCTCAAATGACGACAATTGGTATCCAAGTTGCATAAAGTGTTGGCCCACGTGAGAATGGGGACAGGCATGAAGGGAGAGTCAACATCAGCAACATTTGCCTCAGCTATGTGAGGACGCTTCGAAGGTCCAGGACCACCATGATGTGTTGGGTTGGGCATGGCCGGTTGGATGGAAGGTACTGAGGGGTGTTGGGACAGCTGCTGAGAGGCCACCGAGAGCAGAACTGCAAGAGTTCATAATTAGTACACATGCTAAGCTTAGAATAGCAAGACACACCTTTCGATGATGATGAGGTTTGTTGTCCCATGCTAAGGTTAGAATAGCGAGCCCCACCTTTTGAGGATGATGAGGGTTGTTGGCTGCCACTGGATGGTAAGAGATAAGCTGAAAGACAGGTGGATATGAGACTCCAAAGTTACATAGAAAGAATTAGAAAAGAACGAACCAGATGGGCCAACTTTCCCCGCGGACGACAACGCGGGAGCAGAGGGTACAGGAATAGAATCTTCAATGAGGCTTGGTCAGTAGGTTGCATCATTACAAGCTGGAAACATACATGCATCTCGAACTCCTCCAATACTGGCATTTCCTTTGATAAAATCCTGTCGATCGATTGCAGTGACGTCTTGAAGATCCATGATCGCACAGCCTATACATTGGGTCCACCTGTAAAGTTCGGTCAATGGCGGACCAGTCGCCAGAACAGGGTATGGATCTAAATTGCCCTGCCCATCCTTGAAATGGTGCAGAACAATCTTATCACAATGTAGCTGGGGGGTTGAGAAGTTGACATTCATGGTTGGGAGGATATGGAATGAAGGGCGGATTAACCACACAGGGATTCCCATCGCTTGGAGTTGTTGAGCGACCTGGACCTTTTCCGTAAATGCTCCCATCAATTTCTGATTGGCCTCGTACTTGACCACGCCATTGGGACTGGGAAAAAGACGTGGTTGATAAACGTCGACAAAATTGATCCATGCGTGTATGTCAAGGACTGCTCTTTGGAACTCTGCGATGGCCAGCAATATCTCCTTGTAGGTCATCCCAAATGAACGAAGCCTATTGAGAGCTTGACACATCGCAGTGACCAAAAGACCCGCAAGAGGGGAGCAGTCGCGTCCCTCACATTTTCCAATCAGACCAACATATTTGTTGCAGAGATCCTTGTACCCGTTCAACAGTTCCGGCTTGAGTACATGAATAGTGACTGAGAAAGGTGAATTGGGAATGATAGGGCAATCTTCGGGATTGGGTGTCCACCACAACATGTGGCGAGACTGATCGCATATGGGGATGCAGCAGATATACTCAGAACTTTTGATGTACATCTGTGGGTGGAGGGTGCGGTCATCCAGTCCAAAGTGGCCATCCACCTTCGCTTGAATATGACGAATGCCAATGGGAGCAGTCAGGATGTAGCCTGCGTTCGGAGTAGTAATGACCCACCAGGATGGGGGGTCGCCTTTGTCGGGATGTTCAATGAATGTGTTGATGCCGGCCTCACTCATAACCTCCCTCATCCGAACCTGACGATCCAATACATTCCAGCAATAAGCGTCCGTCGTGCAGAATTCGTGATCTCCTTCATGCGTGTATTCCTTATAGTACGGTTTCGAAGTTGGAGAAGTAGACACCATAGCTAGTAATCCTGTCAGAAATGCAATTCTAGAATAGATAGTTGAAGAAATGTCGTGGAATAAAGAGTCAAACACGATTGGAGGATGTCCGTCGACAGGGAGTCAAGATGTACATCCTCCAACAGAACAACAAGGAGTCAAATTCCACGCTCAATCATACAAGAATCCAGGAGAAGACCACCTACCAAACAGAGTCCAATTGATAATACACGAGTGGGTAGCAGGATGCGAGAGAGAGGCTGTTCAAAGCAGAGGCTAACGTGGTTGAGAAGACCCAAGTAACAAAGCTGAAGACCAAGATCAGTATGTGAATAAGTTTATGCAAACATACATTACTCACTGATTACAGATGAATGGCACAGAAATGAAATACAAAACCAGAGGCACACCAACGACTAAGAAAGAACAGATTAACATCTATTTGGCGGCAAAGCGAACCAAGTGAGCAACAAGGAGTCAAGCTCAGGAAGGTGGGTTGAAGGTGGATCGACAAGGAGTCAAAATTCACCCAAACCCATGGAACGACAAGGAGTCAAGTTCCCGGAAGGATAGGTAACATGCAATGGAAGACTCACTGTTTTGAGGCACATCTTGGTTTGGCGCACACCCTATCGTGGATGAGGAAGAGGAGTGGAAAAGTAACGGAACAGAATAGAATAGAATTAATCCCAACAACAATCACGTTGTTCAATGGTATCACATGTACATCAGACACCTTACAATTGTGACTGGTGGCTACCACTTTTATCATATAAATAAGGTAACTGCCTAGAGGTCATTGTGTATAAGTCCACAGTCTTTATGATAGGGAATCATTCCAGTTGCCATGTCTTTTCATTATCATAAAGCATGCGCTTTTTTTCATTAATTGTAGGCAAGGCCTTAGACCTCCATCTCATTATGTACCTTGTCAATATCATTGTGATTTTCATTAGCCACTTGGGCAATATCATTGGGAATTTCATTAGCTACTTGACCGATATCATTGCGATTTTCATTAGCTATTTGGAAATTATCATTGGATATTTCATTAGCCACTTGGGCAATATCATTGGGAATTTCATTAGGCACCTGGGCAATATCATTGCAATTTTCATTAGCTTAGTTGGGCAATATCATTGGAAATTTCATTAGCTACTTGACTGATATCATTGTGATTTTCATTAACTATTTGGGAATTATCATTGGAAATTTCATTAGGCACCTTGGCAATATCATTGCAATTTTCATTAGCTAACTGGGCAATATCATTGGAAATTTCATTAGGCACCTGGGCAATATCATTGCAATATTCATTAGCTATTTGGGAATTATCATTGGAAATTTCATTAGCCTCTTGGGCAATATCATTGGGAATCTCATTAGGCACCTGGGCAATATCATTGGAAATTCATTAGCATATGGGCAATATCATTGTGATATCTCATTAGCTACGTGGGCAATATCATTGGAAATTTCATTAGCACATGGGCAATATCATTGTGATATTCATTAGCTATTTGGGAATTATCATTGGAAATTTCATTAGCCTCTTGGGCAATATCATTGTGATATTCATTAGCTATTTGGGAAATATCATTGCGATTTTCATTAGCTACTTGGGCAATATCATTGGAAATTTCATTAGGCACCTGGGCAATATCATTATGATATTCATTAGCCTAGTTGGGCAATATTATCGTGATTTTCATTGGCTACTTGGGCAATTTCTTTGGAAATTTCATTTGCCACCTGGGCAATATCATTGCGATTTTCATTAGCTACTTGAGCAATATCTTTGGAAATTTCATTAGCTGCTTGGGCTATATCATTGTGATTTTTGGTCATCAGGAGGGTGGTCACATGACCTATTTCCAAAAATGGTCAAAAAGCGAAAATTGTAGCCCTGCACTGTAGCTTCCTGAATCTGTTGGAATTATGTTCTAAAGTGCTCCCATTGTGGACATACACTGACTGGGCAAAAAGAATGTCCCATCATTTTTTGGACAAAGTTAGTCCTGTAACACAAGAACCAAACATTTTGAGAACTACAGTCTGGTGTATGAATCCCAAATAGCTAATGAATATCACAATGATATTGCCCATGTGCATAATGAAATTTCCAATGATATTGCCCACGTGCCTAATGAAATTTCCAATGATAATTCCCAAATAGCTAATGAATATCGCAATGATATTGCCCAGGTGCCTAATGAGATTCCCAATGATATTGCCCAAGAGGCTAATGAAATTTCCAATGATAATTCCCAAATAGCTAATGAATATTGCAATGATATTGCCCACGTGCCTAATGAAATTTCCAATGATATTGCCCAGTTAGCTAATGAAAATTGCAATGATATTGCCAAGGTGCCTAATGAAATTTCCAATGATAATTCCCAAATAGTTAATGAAAATCACAATGATATCAGTCAAGTAGCTAATGAAATTTCCAATGATATTGCCCAACTAAGCTAATGAAAATTGCAATGATATTGCCCAGGTGCCTAATGAAATTCCCAATGATATTGCCCAAGTGGCTAATGAAATATCCAATGATAATTTCCAAATAGCTAATGAAAATCGCAATGATATCGGTCAAGTAGCTAATGAAATTCCCAATGATATTGCCCAAGTGGCTAATGAAAATCGCAATGATATCGGTCAAGTAGCTAATGAAATTCCCAATGATATTGCCCAAGTGGCTAATGAAAATCACAATGATATTGACAAGGTACATAATGAGATGGAGGTCTAAGGCCTTGCCTACAATTAATGAAAAAAAGCGCATGCTTTATGATAATGAAAAGACATGGCAACTGGAATGATTCCCTATCATAAAGACTGTGGACTTATACACAATGACCTCTAGGCAGTTACCTTATTTATATGATAAAAGTGGTAGCCAGTAGTGGACTTGCGCACCAATGCCACAAGCGATCAAGCGAGTTAGGAGGAATAGAATCGTTTGAACCGTAAAGGTCAGTCAAATAGACTCTCGTGGAAACCCAATTGTCGCCAGACAACAACTTGGATGCTCCAATGACCATCCGAACTTTTGTATGGCAGTATCTGAGTACATATCCAGGCAGAAGTGAGTGCGCAACTCTAGCGCTATCTGCATGCTGTTCAAGACTGTCCAAGAAATCTGAAACATGTTTCCCTCTGAATTTGGGAGCACCTGGTGTACCAGGCGTGGGCATAGGGACGCCCAAAGTAGCGTTAAGGCTCGTTTCAGATGCAGACGAGTTAAGAGAATCCATGGAAGTAACTTTGTCCACCAGACTCATGAAGAAAAACAAAGAAAGGGAGAAAAATTCGATACGAAAAAGAGGATTGAAGGGGAATGCTTAGTGTATATGCGGCTGAATGTCTAGTTCTACCACTTTTTGGGCAAACTCAAAGCGGCAAACAAAGCAAAGTTGCGAAAGCAGAGGGGTTTTGGTCGTGTATATGGCGAAAAAAGTGGATGTATGTGGCTGAAAACCGAATAATCAGCCTAAAATCAAATGATGAATATGTACTAAGTTTTTCTCAATGAAAGCCCATGGCGCAGAACGAAAAACCAGAACCCATGTCTCAGTCACCACTGTGGAAGAACAAAAGTTCAAGGACAGGGAAGGGTCACTGGTCGTCTGCCACAGAAAAAGATAAGGAGAGTGAAAAACAAAGAAAGCAAGAACAAAGGAAGAAGAAGAATCGGGCACTTATCGTGAGTGGTGTGTGAACACACCCAATGTCACTGTCTAATCGCCGTATGTATGTATGCACGTCAAGCCGAATGTATACACCTTGAGAATGTGTGAGAGGTAAAGGGAGAGGTTCTTGAAGTGTGTCGTTGTTGAAAGAAGATGGAGAGAGTTGGACAGAGACTGTAAAAACTTGAAAACTTAAACGTGCTTGAGAGTCTGATGGGGGGGGAAGAATGGATTCAAAACACGCAAAGAGCCTTTTAAATATGTTACAAACAATCACAAGGCTACACATGTACTCACATGCTGCCTGACCAAAAATAAACGAGAAGTGTCTAAAAATAGCAATAAAAATAGAAAGAATCACAAAGAAACAAAATAATGCTGACTTCACCCTCACCTCTCTCCACAAATCCGTCAGACTAGGAATGACTTGGGGAACTTACAATGTAGGGAGAGGTCTATTTTCGTGCGCGACTGCCGACCTCAGTGCGGACATCCCTAGCATTGACACTTGACCCTACTGTCTAGCCATCAGAAAGTGTGTCGAGCAGAAAAGGTTCTGTCGTAAGTAAGAAGGAAATGCAAAAGAAAGAAAAACTAGAATTGAATTTAGGTGTACAAATCCAGGAAAACTTCCAAGACCAATTCCTTCAAGGGTGCACATTGTTGGGCGATGCAGCAAGCGCTTCGGCGTATAATGTTGTCTGATCTGTTCTTTTGCTGCCAGTGATCGGATGCCACACAGCCTTTGGTCTTTCTCCTTGATCCCTAAGAAAATATACACTACACTCACTCTCAACATTCAGTAATGAATAGGTAAAATACAAATAACAAAATAAAAAGTAAAACCATAAAATAAGAAAGAAAAAGAAAAATACAGAAGGCGTCGTGAATGGAACGTGACACACTTCCACAGCTTCTGGAATTGTTTACATTTGTTGTCTGGGAGCATCAATCCCCAAAGGTCATCTAAAGTTAGTTAACCCAATCCATCCATTTCCAACATACGGACACCTGAGGAACCAATTCTATTAGATGTAAATAAAATACAGGATATATTTGGAATGATTTGCAAGGCTTTTTTGAGGGAGAAACATATGCAGAAGCAAAAATATTGTTGTTGAGCCCAAAACAGAGGTTTGTTTGCAGATATTGACATATTAGCTGAAAAACAAATACAGAACATCAATAGATAATTAGGAATACCCCAAATTATACTGTAGAGGGCTCCCTGGATCAATCCACATCCCAGACAACCTGGGTGTTTCCATCCCCTGAGTCACAGGGAAAACTGCATTAGTACAGGAAATAAGGCCTATGCCTACAGCCATGGGTGCAAGCTAGATGGAGTTTATACTTATCAAGGTTTAATCTTCAACTCATTCACATTCCCAGATCAAGAATGATCCAATCCGACGCTCTATCCAGACGACCCGATCACGTCCCTGATAACGATGACAATAATGAAAACCTTGTCTTACTCCCAGACAAGATATTCATTAATCTTATTAATGTTGAACTCGCAAAGATGATCGAGTCAACAACAGCCTCAGACAAATTAGTAAAGAACATATCAAATGTTCTTTCTACAAAAGGAATCCCACCGATTAAGTCAAGCCTTTCCAATTGGAAAATACGAGATGGAAAACTTTTCTATCAAGACTGATGCTACATTCCCAATAACAATGGAATACAGAAACTCATTGTTCAAGAGTTTCATAATTCACCAATGACTGGACACCCTAGAAGAGATAGCACATTAGAGATGGTGCAAAGACATTACTGGTGGCCAAGACTACGTCACTTTGTATATGAATATGTTGCAGGATGTGCTATGTGTCAACAGAACAAAATTAACACACATCCAATGCAACCACCGACACAACCAATTAAATCCACAGCAACACGACCCTTTCAGATGATATCACAAGATTTTATATCAGGATTACCAAAGACAAAACGAGGCTATGACCGCATAATGGTTGTGGTAGACCATGGCCTTATGAAGGGGGTAATTTTTATCCCAACCAATAAAGAATTAACTGCCCTAGAAGCCGCCAAACTCCATTTCGATCATACCTTCAAACGATTTGGAATACCAGATGACATCATATCTGACCAAGATCCCCTTTTCATTTCAAAAACCTACCAAGGTCTAATGAAACTTTGTGGAATCAAACAACAAATCAATACAGTGTATCACCCTGAAACAGATGGAGAAACAGAACAAGTTAATCGAGAACTCGAAATGTACCTGAGAATATTCTGCAAAAGAATTCCAGAAGAATGGGATAAAAACCTTTCTATTGCCAAATTCTCACACAACAGATGACCCCACTCTGTTATGAAACAAACCCCATTCTACCTCATGTTAGGATGCGAACCTACTGGAGTCCCAGTAGCATTCTCAAAGATGAATGTCCCTGCAGTCGAAAGAAGATTATCAGAACTCTTAAAGATAAGAGACGACACTCAAGCCGCACATGAGCTGGCACAACAAGCTCAAATTAAACGATCTAAGAAGAACTCTCCTCCATTTGACAAAGGAGACTTAGTATGGTTAGATGGGCAACACCTCAACAGAGGTCACAAGTTCCCAAAGATAGACTCATTACACGAAGGACCCTTCAAGATTGAAGAAATCATGGGGCCAGTAATGTACAAACTCCAACTTCCACCCCAGTGGAAGATACACAATGTTTTCCACAGAAAACTTCTTACCCCGTATCGCGAAACCGATGTTCATGGAAAGAACTTCCCTGAACCCCCTCCTGACCTTGTCGAAGGAGAAGAAGAATATGAAGTAGATTCAATCAGAGATCACAGAAAACAAGGCAAAAGATACCACTATCTAGTGGAATGGAAGGGATATTCCAATGAAACCTGGGAACCAGAAAGCAATTTGAAGAATGCTTCCAAGATTCTCAAAGACTATAAGAAGAGAAAGAATCTCCAGTAAAATCCTCAGACACTTGTCTAAATTCGCAATCAAGCCAACCAGCTTTCTTCACAACTAACCCTCCTCTTTAAACATGTACACCTCCCTCTTCAACTCTGAATCTTTCCTCACCACTACCCTCTTCATTGAACGCCTCATTCAAGAAGAGAAACACATCTACGCCCTCATCGACACCTGCCAGAACGACTCCACCCTCTCCCTCCACCTCCACCTCATCTTAGAAGCTGTTGCCACCGAGAAGCATCTTGAAGGCAAACTTGGATACAAAGACGAAAATGTCCTTAGTCTCCACACTATGGTAATCACTGCCATCGCCGCTGCCATCCGACATGGCATCCTAAACACTATCAGAGACTGTGACAAGCTCCCTGCTGTCCCCGACTATATCCCAAGCCATTTCGCAGGACAAGGGATTATACAGTATTTCAAAAAGTTTGATGCCGAAATACACACCTATGGGAAAAAGTTCCTGACTTCCCCTTGAATCACTGCCCATCATCCTTACCGATGCACCCCTACCCGCCGCTGCTCGAAATGCAAAAGGCTCGGCCACATTCGTAAGGATTGCAGCAATTACCAGTGCGGAGGATGCTTTGGTGGGGACCAGGGCATACTACCCCCAATTGTGAAACGAAGAAAGAAGCTGATAAAGCATGGGAGAGAGAGAAACGAATGAACACCGCAGGATACAATACGAAGACGGGAGCACAAATGTGGAAGGATAAAGTCTATAATTGGGCAGGAGTACCAATTCTCACAAACGAAGATTGGAACACCCCCAGGAGACAGCCCGAGGTCATCGACTTGACCTCCCCTTCACCACCTTCCTCACCATCAATGCTGCCTCTCTTCCCGCCAACCCCACCATCATCTCCTCTCTATAATCTGTACTCCCCTACAACCCACCAATCTCCTCTCTTCGACTTTGAAGACTTGGTCAGCAATTTCAACTCCATCGCTTCTTCATCTGGCAATATCAGTGATATTGAAGTTTAAACGGGGGGTAATGTTACAGACTCTTTTTCCTATACATGTAAACACACGCAGACACTTACATACTCCTAAGACGTATTTAGACCATACTGGACAGTTCTATACACACATTCCAGGCCTCATTTCTTTATCATATGATTTCTTACATTGTACAACTTTCTTTTTTATCATATGATTTCTTACATTGTACAACTTTCTTTTTTATGGTACGACTTTATATTGTACCACTTTCTTTTATTGTACCACCTTTAGATATGGTACGACTTTCTTTCTTTTTGTTTAGTATATAAGTAGGGCTACCTTTGCTTGTATTCGGGAGCTTGAACCTAGGCAATACAAGCTTAGTTCTCCCTCAGAAACCTCAGAAACTAAGATCGCCCTCAAACTCTATAATCTTCTAACTTAGAGTTAGTGTTCGCAGGTCCGGTTCAGTCCGGTTTTTTGCCCCGAAAACAGGCAACTGCAGACCGCAACCGGTCTAGGACTGACCCAAATATTGAGGGAACCAAACCGGACCACCTAGGACCGGTCTTTTGCAGTCCATGGACTGCATTCAAACCAATTCAGACCAATCTTTTTGCGTAAAATTTGTCATACCAATATAAACCATTTATATCTCAATTATTATTACTCTAAAAAGTAAACTGGTTACATATCATAGTATAACATATAAATACCCATCATTCCACCAATTCTTAAGAAATTTAATGAAGGTTTGACATAGCTATGACTGAAACCAAATTACATCTCCTAAAGACTTGGGCAAAATGTAATGCGGCAACTGTAAATTATTTGATGCATACCATATATTGATAGATGGTGAGTATATTTTCATACTTAAAATGTCAATATCCAAAAATTGAATCAAGCAAAATGATGAAAGTTTGAGTGAGTTAGAATTAAAGTCATTCTGGTACAAGTTGCACAAACAAGTATTTGTGCCAAAATGGATTTAGTTATATCTTTCTCAGTTCTTAACCGTTTTTGATGAACTAAAAACCCAATTAAAGGTAATAGACGTGGCTACAAGGCTACATAATGCACGTGACCGTTTAACCGGTTGCAACCGATTTAAACCGGTCTTTGAACGGTTTTAAAAGATTTTTGAAATGAGGCAACCGGCAACTGGACCAACCCCAAATTTGGGCAACTGCAACCGAAAAAAAGACTGGTCCATGGTCCAGTTCAGTTCAGTCCACCGGTTTTTTTTGGTCCTATGGACCGGACCTGTAAACACTACTTAGAGTCTCTTTAGAAACTTTGACAATAAGTCTTCAATGTTGAAGACTTAATACATGTTTGACTTAACAGAAGTCAGCATATCATAGAACCTTGGACAGACCTTCAGGTGCAAGGCTACTAGAACCTACCGTGTCGCTTTAAGGGCTAAGCGAACGTTGTAGTGACCCACTTTGTCTCAACGACGAGAACTGTGGTAGACGAACGAACGATTGAACTCAAAAGCTTAACATAACTGCCTGTTATGCTTAACAACCATAACAAGATATCCACACTCGTATCCCATCCACAACCCAGGATGACCTCTGGGACGCGTAGAGCAAAAGGTTGAATAACATCGGAGTGGAAACCATTCATAGAAGCGGCTTGAATACAGTGATGAGTTATGACCGCCATCACTATATGGGTGACTCACCGGTACCAAAATCAGTCAATTGCACATGAAGTTGTAACAAATGTATCAAATTGAGAAGCTCATCTGAGCAAAAAGCGCAGAGAGGATGAGACAAGATACCATGACTGGGAAGCTCGGAAGGAACCATCTGTGTAGAAGCAGTCTGGGGAAATTCTTCCTCCCGGATAAAAATGCCAGTTTCTGCATTATCAAGTTTGACGAGAATGTTGTCAGGTTTCAGATCTTTTTCAATGATACTTCAGTTCCAACGTGACTCCAGCAATTTCTGACAGCGGCACACCAGTATGAATCATATGACATTCACGATGCAGAAAATCTAAAGCCATAAGCAGTTGCCGTGCCACTACCTTGACCAACAGAACTGGGAGGCCTGAATTGTTGACCTTTGGAAATAGGCTGACAGTATCTTGACTGTGACATACTGCCGCTCACGTCCTCTTTGATGCCAGGGAAATAACATAAAATTGTCATAACTTGGCCAGAAGAAGTATGCCATTTACACACCCTTCATATTTCGCTAGCCAGACACTGGAGTGTTGGCCCAACTGTCGCAGCTCTCCCCCCATCTCACTTTCCTTATAAGGAAAGTTGATCATTTGGGGGAGGATATAGTGCATGACAAACCATAAAAATATATGCCAGTTTGGTGTAGTGGTTATTTATGCAGGTTTCCTTATGCTTACCAAAGTGTTCGTGGTTTGATTCTGCTTCCTCCATTTTTTTTTTCTACATATGAAACAATTACTTTACAGAATATTTTTCCCTCCGCGCAGTAGTGCGTTCGTTAGGTTAGGAGGTTAGGTTAGTTGTTAGGGATGGGGTTATTTTTCTCCCACACGGTAGCATGTTCTTGGTAGGTTAGGTTAGGTTAGTGGTTAGGGTTGGGGTTATTAGGTTAGTGGTTAGGGTTAGGGTTATTTTTCTCCCCACACAGTAGTGCATTCCGCGATGAGCAAGCACGAGGTACAAGTGCAAGCTCATTATCGGATAAGATAACGCTAGAGTGTCAGAACGAGACTTTGCATTTGTACTCATAAGTACAAACACCTATGGATGTCTTTGAGTCTTAGACAAGGGTCTCCTTGTCGTCTCCTTGTCCTTCAGTCATCGTTCTGACGCAGTAAAAAGAGTCTTCCCAACCTCAGTCAAATTTTCGAATTTTTTTGATGTCTTTTCTTCAAGCTTTCAGCATGACTGACAGTGTCCAACCCTCTCAAACTCAAGCCGCTAGCGCTGAAAGTTCTCAAACGGCTGCTACACCTGTTTCTCAGACACCTGCTACACCTGCCGCTACACCTACTGTCTCTGATGTTCTTCCCCCTCCTCCTCGCGTTCCTCGTACTCATACCTCTCCAACTATTATTCAAATGTTGAAGACTCTTCCTCTTGTCTCTATTCTTCAGATGAACAAAGAAATCGAGGACCAAAATGCCGTACACTCTCAGAAGACTTTCAACCATATTTCTGATCCCACTGTTCACACTGAGCCTGGATCCAATGAGGCTTCTTTGATTTCTTTGGCCGACGTTGATCTGAACCGTTTTCGTGTCCCTTCCTTCGTGGCTTCCTTTCCCAACTTGATCTATGCAAAACTTGCTAAGTGGATTGCTGATGAAGACTTAAAAGATAAGCTGAAGTTAAAAAGGAAGACTAACGAGGACATTAAGCTCTCTGCAGAAGAAGCTAGAATTGCCAAGCAGCACTGCATGAATGGCCAAAAAATGGTACCTTGGATCGTTGGTGTCCCGTGGCAGGCTACCTTTCCTCAGAACCTCTTTGACACTGAACTTTGTATCGCTGTCCCTTTACCTTTCTTTCTCAACAAGAACTTGAATATTTTGAATGTCGAAGCCTCCACCTTACCAACGACAAAGACTAATCCAAATCCTGGTGAGACGAAGGGTACCGTCATTCTTGACATTGAAAAACTCTCTGTGTGTTTCGGCAAAGAGCTTTCTTTGTCTTGCAGCCAATGGACAGAGGCTGCTGGTAACATGTATCTTTTTCAAAAAGAACGTGATCAAGACAGCACTAGTGAAGCCCATAGCAATTGGTATAATGAGCATTTTTGCTTTTATACTTCTCAGGACACTAAGGACGACCTCTATGATGCCTGGAAAGCAGATGAGTTGAAATTCCGTCAGGAGCATTGGGCAAAATATGGCGAATTTGATGCTTCTCGCTACTATCAGGTGTACAAACTCTCCGAGAAGCAGCGCGAAATGATGGCTGACATCCATGGGATGATGGCATCTGAACCCACCAAGGCTCCTTTCAATGCGATGTTAGGCAAACCCGTGCCACAACTTTCTTCTCGCTCCTCTCAGACACGACCCTCCCAGCCCTTTTCCTCAGGCAGCGGCAGATCTTCCTCCTCGACGCCCGACTGCCTTATCTGTGCCGAGCGAGGCCATGACGCAACGCAACATGCGGACAGCACTGTCATCATCAAATTCAAGGCAGACGGGAAGGCAGTATGGTCCAAGTACAGCGACCACAACCTCCTCACCCCTGACAATTGGGTCATCTGCATTAGCTGGAACCTCAGAGGTGACCGCAGGCACCCATGTTCTCACAGAGACGAACGCACCCACCTCTGTTCCTTCTGCGGCAGTAAACGCCACCACACCTTCTCTTGGACGTGTCGTTCTCGACCCTCAAACTGAGGCATTCACCCAGGCGTCACTTTCACTTTCCCTTTCCTATTCCGACTTCTCTTCCTCAATTGTTCCTCGCCCCCCTCTGTCCTGCACCTCTTCGGAGGAGTCTCTCCTCTTTCACCGAATCTTACATCCATACGACGCCAACTCCTTCAAATTTCTATTGCGTAAACACGATCTCTTTGACAGTTACCCTCTTCTTCCATTCAATCTGCGCTTTGGCTTCCCTATTGGGCACATGCCTCCACTCTCCCAGACTGTTATCATGCCCAACAACCCCTCTATCGTTTCTTATCCAGACACTGTGCCTGACTACCTCACAAAAGAAGTCAAGGCTGGCAGACTCTCGGGTCCTTTCTCTCGAGAGGTTACAGAGCAGATCCTGCGCAGCCCTTTTCAATCTTCATCCCTCATCGTCTCTGTTCAGCCTCAGGAACCTGGGGTGCCTGACAAACTCAGGGTTTGTCAACATCTGTCCAAGGCTTCCAAGCTTCACGCGTCCGTTAACTCCCACATCCGAAAGGATGATTTCCCTACGCGTTTCGACACCGCATCAAAGGTAGCCGATATCGTGAGTTTCTTTCCATCTGTTCCTTCCCCACCTTTTCTTGCCTCTTTCTTACACATCTCCTTTGCGTTTCGTGCATGGAGATGTTTTCATTTACTAGCGCTGGCCTTCTGTCCAGTCACTCCTTGGGTATTTTTGCTGTATGCAAGTTACCCGCTTTGCTGTCCTCTTTCCTGTTCCGTGCCATTCGCACGATGATTATCTTCCACACATCAAGTGTGATGATTATCTTCCACGTGCTGAGCGTGATGCCTCCTCTTCCACGTGTTGAGCGTGATGATTATCTTCCACGCACTGAGCGTGATGCCTCCTCTTCCACGTGTTGAGCATGACGACACCTGGGGCATCACATATTATGTTTTAGGATTGCTGTGCATGTGTTATGGGCATCTGTCATCTTTTTCCTAATATGTTATGCATATATACCATGTTACTCTTACCCTCTTGTCTGATTCCTCGATTTTGAACATTTTACTCATATATGTCGATCTCTGAATAGATTTCTCATGCACCTCCTGGAACTCAGGCATGTACCCTCGATATTAAGAAGTTCCACCGCACCTGTCCTGTACTCCCTTCTCACAAACCTTGGCTGGTCGTCCAAGGGACATCGGACGATTTCTTCATCAATCATGATCACCCGTTCGGAGCTGCCTGCGCCAGCAGTAATGCTGGCATGATCGCAAACGCTGTCGTTGATATCTGGAGAGCTGAAGGGGTCTTCCCGGTACCTAAATACGAAGACGATTTGAAAGCTTTCCGATTCCCTTCCGCTTCAGGCGCTTTTGTTGATGGAGATTTTCGTTATGATTATGACCGAATGGAGATGCATTGCCGCATCTCTTCTTTGGGAGTGCCTTGGCATGATGAAAAGGGTGATGAACGCTTTTCCTTTGTCACAACCTTTATTGGATTTCTCTGGGACATCCCTCGGAAGCGTGTCAGCCTGCCAGAAGGGAAGAGGAATAAGTTCCACCAACGTGTTCTCCAATTCCTTACAGATTTCGAAGGTCGACCTTGCCATTTGCGCGATGTTGAAAAGATTCATGGATCTCTTTGTCATATCGCCTTTGTGTATCTCGATGGACGCTCTCATCTCCCTTCTCTCTCCAATTTTGCGTCTACCTTTCATGGTGACGAATTCTTGACAAAATATCCTCCCCATTCACTGATCACTGACTTGAAGTGGTGGTTGGTTAAGCTCACTTTGCTGGGGATACATCGATCCCTTCGACCTCTTGGTCCTCTATCAGATCTTGGGTTGTATGTTGATGCCTCCACATCATGGGGGATTGGTATTATCATTAGCGGTGAATGGGCTGCTTTCCAGCTTTCGTCTTCTTGGAAGATTGAAGGCCGAGATATTTGTTGGCTTGAAACTGTCGCCATTGAACTTCTCGCCCTTTTTCTGGAGTCTAGAGGCCTTCGAGATGTTCATCTCCTTGTACATTCTGACAATCAAGGCACCATTGGTGCTCTTGATAAAGGTCGCAGTGGCAACATTTATCTCAATCTCGCAGTTCGTCGCACACACATTGTCCTCATGGCCCCATCCCTTGCCTTTAAAACTATCTATATTGAGTCTCACGCTAATCCAGCTGACCCTATCTCGCGCAGAGAACCAGGGCCTGCTGGGAAGCAAATCTTCCCATCTTTTAAGCTCCCTGATGAGCTATCTACCTGTTTTATTCATGCCTAGGTTCACTTCCACAATTGGAACCTCCTCCTTTTCTGATTTCTGACATTTTTATTCAGCCTAGATTATCCTTTTAAACCAGCGACACGTGTCGTTGAGACAGTTGTAGGTGGTTCATGTCATGTTCCTCCGCGCCCTACACCTCGTCATATTCTTTCCCATCCATTCAAATCTCGTACTATCACATCTCCCGTCTCTTGTACTACCACATCTCTTGCCCCATCTGTCACCACCTCCACGCCGTTACACATCTCTCCATCTGCCGCAGCTACTCTTCCTATTGACCCAACTCCTGCCAGCCGACCTATCAAACCAAGACAACCTCAAGTCAGACGCCATATTTCTCAAAGCCCTCTACGCCCTCACGTTTCTGCTGCGGATCGTCTCTTCACTTGGGACACACCTCATGCTGTTCGTCACAGACGGCGCCTGATAGCCTCACTTCCACCAGACTTGGTTAATACTGCCATGATGTCCATCCGTGGCGCCTATGCGCCCAACACAAAAACTACATATGCTGCTGGTACCCTGCGCTTCACGCAATTCTGTGATACATGGGGTATTGATGAGGAAGCGCGGATGCCTGCCTCTTATCCCCTCCTTTGCGCCTTCATTGGGGAACATAAGGGCAGGCAAGCTGGGAACACCATCCGTTCCTGGCTCTCTGGCATCCGTGCATGGCATGTTGTCAATCATGCGCCTTGGTTTGGCGATGATGAATGGATCCAGTTGGCTCGTGTATCCACGAACAAGGAGGGGATAAAGCACAAACACCCCCTTTGTGCTCCTGTTTCCATTGAGCACTTGCTAGCCCTTCATTGTGTCCTCAACCTTTCCACCCCTTTCCATGCAGCAGTGTGGGCTCTCGCCTTGTGCACATTTTTCGGCTGTCAACGACTAGGCAAGCTAGCTGTCACCACTGCCGCTGCCTTTGATGAACGATATCATGTTCTTCGCTCTGTCATGTGCGTTTTTTTTGTCACCTTGTATATCTTATATATTTCTTACCTTTCTGCAGGATTACCTTTCATATGCTGCGAGATGGCTCATCCTCCGCAAGCTTTCGTATTCCTTGGACTAAGACAACGAAGGAGCTTGGTGCTTCTGTTATCCTTACTGCACGAAACGACATCCTTTGCCCTGTTGCTGCTTTAAAGAACCACCTCTCTGTTAACTCATCCACTAACCACTCAACCTCCCTCTTTGCATATACAACTGCATCTTCTCAGCCCAAAATCCTCCTTAAACACGAATTTCTCAACTTCTGTACTCATATCTGGTCCTCTGCTATGCTCGCACATGTTCTCGGCCATAGCTTCCGTATCGGAGGAGCTGTTGAACTCCTTCTCGCTGGGGTTCCCCCCGAGATCGTCGCTGCAACAGGTGGCTGGACCTCCCTCGCCTTTCTACTCTATTGGCGCTGCATGGAAGAGATTCTTCCAATGAGCACATCAAAAGCATACAACAAGTCCCATATGGACTCCTTGGCTGCCATGTTTGAACAATTCCGTATCAAACACAAAATCCCATCTGCGCTGATCACTGCTTCTGATGGGAGCCTTACCTTGTAGTCTATAATGTGAACCTCCTCATCCTCATCTGTACTCTACATTGTCCTTATTTTTGTAACTGTATTTGTATTTTTAATCTCAAAATTCTTTCCAGAGTGACACTTGATTGGGTAGTTCCTCGGTGCTGAACCAACCTGCTCGTTGTGAGCTTACACTCTAGTTGGTATAGCTGGTTGGTTGGCACACAATCAAGCTTTCAGACGCTCAGGTCTTGCCTGTCTCCTCAGATCTCACCATTCTATTTATTATTTAAGATCTGATTTACGCGAGCCGGGCAAGCCCTTCTCGGTTAGGTTAGATGGTTAGGTAGTTAGGTGGTTAGGTAGTTAGGGTAGGTTACATGCTCGAGAACGTGCGGTAGCGCACTCTCGAGCCAACTTAGGGCAATCTAAGTCAGGTTAGGTGGTTAGGTGGTTAAGTAGTTAGGGTAGGTTAAGTGCTCGAGAACAGTAGCGCGTTCTCGTGCCGACTTCACATTGCCCTAAGTTGGAGTGCCGGTGATTGCCATATATGGAGTGCCTGTGATTGCCAGCACATCACATGTGAGACGGGGGGAGACGTACAACACTTTGTTGGCCCCACCCAAGCTTCCGAACAATGGTATATCTTGACTTGAGTTTGTTTCCTAGAGTCGCAGGATAGAATCCGCCCGTTTGATCGGTAGGAAGATCAAGCGGCTCCTCAGGCCACTGTGGTAGAATTCTGGTATCATGTATGGCCCGGCGTGGCAAAGCCTTGAGATGGGGTCTAAGCGCTCTGAACATGTTCATCATACGTAGATGATAACGTGTCGTATGCTGAGTGGGTCGAGGCACGTGACCGCGTATACCATCTTCGTGCTTGGTTCACCGGTTGCGAGATATTGAAAGAAAGTTTGAGGATTCTGCACATGGCCTTGGAAGTCCAAAGCATGGTGGTAGGAAATCTGTAGGAAATTGAGGATGCTAAACGTGAACAAACATGACCTTGACCAGCTTCTACTTCAAGCTTGATCCCACCCAACGTTCACCAACTGTGGTTCGATACCACCCTCTGCGCTCTCGAGAGGACGGTTATTCTCAAGCCTTGCACCAACTCTCATGACTCTTTCTCACAAGTCGATTCAACCCGATCCGTTTTTCAACGTTCCTGAAGAACTATGGTTGGAGATCTTCTACTGCGCGACAGGCGCTACATGCGTCGATGATGGCGTAGACTATGTCCCATTCGCTGCCATCCCTCTTGAAGAACGGCGCGACAGTCCTCGCGTTGAACGGAGGTGTTTCGCCACCAAACGCAACTTGCTTCTTGTTTGCAAGGCGTGGAATGCTCTTGCCACAGAGACTGTCTATCGGACGATACGAATCTGCCGCGGGACCAATACATTATTGGATTCTCTCAACATGGACACATCCAGTGACAAACCTGGAGGTGGAAATGGTCGTTTTGTTCGGAACGTTGAAATCGGCTCAGGAACCCAGGACTTTGATCCTTTCAATCCAACCATCGTCGCTCAGATCCTAGCTCATTGTCCTGGCATGGTCTCGCTCACCCGGCCATTCGCCTTTGATGGCGTGATCCTAGCTATCTGCAAGGTACGGGTGGGCGATGGTTCCCGACAAAGTTCCCATATGCAGGTCATCCCTCATTTCCCAACTCTATCCGCTTTACGAAGGGTAGACTGGTGGCTTCCGAAGACCGCCGTTCCTTCCCGACACTCTGATCTCTCGTCAACCGAGCTTTTTCGCGACCTTCTGGGAGACATTATCAAACATGCTCCCAATCTACAATACCTTACAATCGGCGGGCCATCCCACTCATATATATCTGGAGAGCGCTACTCCTTTGCGCCCATTCTTTCCCTTCACAATCTGACTACGTTGAGACTTGAATGCGATGTGCAATTTGACAACGGCCGCCTCTCAGCCACAACTTGGCAGCTCCCAAACCTCACACATTTACTAGTTGGGGGCACGTATTTTGTTGCAATCCCCGTCATCGAGGCATGTGGCTCTCATCTCAAGGTTCTCGAAATCATCCGAAAGTCATCGCGGAGAAGAGGTACATTATTTACCCCTGCCATCATTCACCACTTGCTGTCCAGAGCTCCCAATCTAGAGGAGCTCAACTTCCCACTCGATGGCTTCGCTGAGGATCGTCAGCCAGTACCACCCGCTTACCTTTCCACGTTGCAAACCATTAGACTTTACCTTGGTAGTCGGTCGCCCACGTGGCTTTCTGAACCAATGTTTGACTTCGTAAAGCTCCCACATTGTCTTCCCATGTTGAAGCACCTGGTCCTCTACAATCACGATCCGTGGCAAGATAGCTTCCAACACCCAACCTTTTTGCTTTTTAAGCAAGCTTTAGAAGAGCGATCCTGCAGCATTGAATTTGCTTAGCATTGTCTCATACAGAGGAGACTTCGTCGTTCACCATTTGTATGACTGCCCTTTTTAAAACGATCTTCGTGGACTCTCATTGGATATGAGATCCACCTTCCAGATCCCCATGTGAATCTCACATCCTAGTTCTTCTCTGACTTTGGAAAAAAGCTGCTTGCTGGGCGCAGCTGCATTTCTCGCATTTGTCGCGGTCCCTGACGAGTTTAAGCAGGTTCAAGCATGAAGATTGCAACCCTCGTACCTTTTGGTCTCCCAGTGCGCTGGTTCGGATCCCCGATCTTTGAACGGACGCTTCGAAATTATGCGAGCGCATCGCATCATCCCAATATTTCAGCTAGTGCCTCCCATACTTCTTCACTTAGGTGTCGTATTTCTGGTCTTCCGAACTAGTCCGAGCTCTGTTTCCGTCCTTGGCAGGTGCAGTGTCTGCTTGCGACCATCTCAAATGCTTGCAACCAACATGGAAGTGGCAGTCCGGGAGTTCCTCGTTTCCTCTAGGGTTGTTAGAATTGAAATACAACTTTTCGATGCAATAGGATACAACGTAGTTAAGTTATGGGTACGCACATTGGTGTTCAATAACAACGATATATCTACCTACATGATCATGATGCAATCCTTCTTCTTTTTCTCCTTGAAGGGTTTTTCTAGAAGGGGCACGTTCGCCACCTGCCTGCTGCTCCTGCACAGGATTCTCCACATAGCCTTAAGAGTCCAAAAACATTTTCCTCATGCGAGCGCAGACAACGATAAGCAGAAGCTCAGATAGTGGTAGGAAACTGAGGATGCGGTAGAAACGTGATCGCGGAAACTGACAGCTTGGTTCGATACCACCTCTGCAAAACTCCCGAAGGGACAGCCTCGAGTCTTACACCAACTCCCATGACTCTCCCTCATAACTCATTTCCCGACCCTTTTCCGAACGTTCCTGAAGAATTATGGTTGGAGATCTTCTACTACGCGACTGTTGGTGAATGCGTTGATGATGGCATAGACTACGTCCCATTCGCTGCCATCCCTCTTCAAGAACGCGACAGTCCTCGCGTAGAACGAAGGTGCTTCGCGACGAAACGCAACTTGCTTCTAGTCTGCAAGGCATGGAATGCTCTTGCGACAGAGACTGTCTATCGGACAATACGAATCTGTCACGGAACCAACACACTATTGGACTCTCTTGATATGGATACTTCCGGTGAGAAAGCCGGAGGTGGAAATGGTCGTTTCGTTCGAAACATCGAAATCAATTCAAGAGTCCAGGACTTTGATCCATTCAATCCAACCATCGTTGCTCAGATTTTAGCTCAGTGTCCTGGCATGGTTTCGCTCGCCCGGCCATTTGCCTCTGCTGGCATGAACCTAGCCATCTGCAAGGTTAGAGCGGGCAATCATGGTTCCCTTGAAAGTTCCCATACACAGGTCATCCCTCATTTCCCAACTCTATCCGCTTTACGAAGGGTAGACTGGTGGCTTCCGGTGACCATGCCTTCCCGCCACCGTGACTCTGGTCCCTCATCAACCGAGGTTTTTCACGACCTTCTAGGAGACATCATCAAACATGCTCCCAATCTGCGATACCTTACAATCGGTGGGCCACCCCACTCATACATATCTTCACAGCAGTACTCCTCTTCGCCCGTTCTTTCTCTTCGCAATCTGACTACGTTGAGACTTGAATGTGATGTGCTATTTGACAACGGCAACCTCACAGCCACAACTTGGCAGCTCCCAAACCTCACACATTTACTAGTTGGGGGCTCATATTCTGTTGCAACTCCCGTCATTGAGGCATGTGGCTCGCATCTCAAGGTTCTCGAAATCATCCGAAAGTCATCGCGGAATATGGGTACATTCGTCCCTGCCATGTTTCACGACTTCCTGTCTAGAGCTTCCAGTCTAGAGGAGTTCAACTTCCCACTCGATAGCTACGTCGAGGATTATCGTCCACTTCCACTCGTCTACCCTTCCACATTGCGAACTATCACACTTTACCTTGATAATTGGTCACCCGATTGGCTTTCTGAACCAATGTTCGACTTTCTCAAGGACCCACATCGTCTTCCCATGTTGAAGCAGCTGGTCTTCTATCATCACGGCCGATGGCAAGAGGCCTTCCAACAACCAACCTTTTTGCTTGTTAAGCAAGCTTTGGAAGAGCGGTCCTGCAGCATTGAATTTGCTTAGTGTCGTCTCGTAGAGCAAAGATTTGGGCTTAGGTGTACAATTTTGCCATTGCCATGTTCTCAATCCCCAAGGCCTCCTTACCCGTCACTGCCTATCATTTCTTTAGACAACGGAAACCTCGGAACGACGCATTTTCGTCATCTCAGTCTCCTTCATCGTTCACTCGCGGTATTGCACCCTTAAATGACAACCTCGGTGGACCCTCATTCGATATGAGATCCATCTTTCAGGTCCCCATATGAACCTCACATCCTACTTCTTCTCCTGCTTTGAAAAAAGCTGCTTGCTAGCTGCGGATGCATCTAGGTTGGCTTTGTCGCGATTCTTTTCGAGATCAAGCGAGCGCATCGCATCATTCCAAAGTTCAGCCTGTGCCTCCCTACAGATACTTCCCCATTTGTGTATCGTATTTTCGGACCTCCGATCTCTGTTTCCGGCTATGGCGGGTACAGTATGCTTGCGACCATCTAAGGCGCTCGCAACCAACCTGGAAGTGGCAGCCCCGGAGTAGCTAGGATCAACATTTAAATACATACAACTTTCCGATACAATGTAATTACGGGTATGTACATCGGTGTTCAATAATAACAATAAATCTACCTACATGATGATACAATCCTTCTTCTTTTTCTCCTTGAGGGGTTTTTCTAGAGGGTGCCCGTTCGGCAGCTGCGCCCTGGCATCACGCTTAGCCCGCTGCTCCCGCACATATTCTTCATGCTGCCGACGCGCAATGATTTCCTCTTCAGCCTGCAGCTGCTGCGCCAATGCATGGTCAGCTGGATCTACAGATCTTTGGCCTTCAAGGTTTTCCTGCGCCCTCAGTGCATCTTCCGCAGTCTGGCCTGCGAAATCACCCCCTGCGGGACTGGCCCGCACGAAATCGGAGTCAACGAACGTTGACCAACCACCATCGACGTCTTCCAAACGTTCCCAGACGACGGATGGCTCACGTAGGAAAACCTGGTCTGTGACGAGCGTGTAAAGTCCGGCATCTTCGTCTTCTGATTTGTAGAGGACCGAAAGGTGGGAGTTGCGGAATAGGGCTACGAGTGCCCCTGGCTCGAGGGTTGCAGCGAGGTGGAAAAGACCATGGTAGGTTAATTGAGACTGCGTCAGTTCAAGAAACTGACGGATGATGATGGCTGGGGAGTATCAATGCGTATTTGCTAATTCGAAGGGCCTGGACAGCTCACCATTCTCTACCTTCTTCTGATCCTCCTCTGACCAATTCGTCGTAGGGCTTGTCGGACTTGGTGCAGTAGTAACGGCCGCGTCCTCGTTGAAGACGAACTTCCCGTGTGTCAAGTGGTCCACTTCGGCAATCAAAGATACCGAGGCGTCATAATCCTGGATCGTCTCCAGCGCCGTCGCCTCTGGGCTGTCCGGGGCAACTAGCCATCCATGCACCAGCGTGATGCCGGCTTGTTCGAATAGTTTCAATTCGTCACCTGCTCCTCCCGGTCGAAATGATGTAGCCGCCGTGAATACCGGATTCAAGTCCATTCCCTCTAACATGCAACTCATTAAGCAGGTTGTCATTGGGCTTGAGCTGTCGCGACTTACTTTGGGTGTAAGGCATGACGGACAGTGCCGCGGAGATATCAACATCAGGGGAGCTTGCAAGCAGATATTCGGCAACTAACTGAGAGAGAAACTCGTAGGAGACCGTTCTCCGTTCTGGTGGCTGGATGTCGATGTTTCCTCGTAAAATCAAAATATTGCCTGTTGCCCGGAGTTCAGTTGATACCCTAGCGTGCTCCATGAGCCTACCTACATATAGCGATAAATGAGCATGGTCTATCACGGCTGTTAGATCATCGGTGTGCGGACAACGGCGCAGTTTGCTCACCCATTGAAATTCTGTGTTATGACCTTCAAGGTCCGCCTTTCAATACTCTTTGTGCCAAATGTGATCTCCTTGAGGTACCATACTTCAGCTTTGGAGGATTGCAACGTCGGGGCTTCTTGCGACATGGTGGTTGTGATAGAGATGGGGTATTCGCGCTAAGGGTCAAGCGATGCTGCGCCGCGGCGCGTGCGACTCGGACCGCGGCGTCGTCATAGGTCGACCATGACTAAACGTTAACCACGTCGAGCAAAGTAATCAAGTGTCGAGAGTAACATATTCAGCAGGTGTAATGAATAGAGTCATATTCAAATCACAGCTGCTCACTCATCTACATATATGTCATATCAATTGAACATAGAAGGGTTCCGTGGCCTCTTGCGAATAGGGGGTTTCACAGTAGGCCAACTTAGGTCCCAACTTAATCCCCAACTTGGTGAGCAACTTTTGCCAAGTTGGAAGGACAAAGTTTGACCAACTTCATCAAGTTGGGATGCAAATCGTGGTCCCGACGCCGATTTGCAGCCAACTTTGATCCCAACTTGGTGCCCAACTTCACCTCGCAACTTCCCACGTGTCCAAAATAGGCAGAAATCTGCATTCGGAATCCCTTCCGAGCCCAAATCAGCCCAAGTTCATGTTTTCTGCAGTTCAAGGTGTTTCACGGTAAAGTTGGCCAACTTCCCTTTCAACTTTGTTGAAGTTGGCCCACAAGTTGGAATGAAAGTTGGGACCTAAGTTGGCCTACTGTGAAACACCCTAATACTATACAGGTAACAATAAGTATGGTCGGAAGTCAACCGTCCGATTCTTGCTGGAAAGACTATCTACAACCATGCTAGGGGTGATACTGACGGTAAGGCGCGTCCTGAGGAGGTCGGAGGCCAGCCATCTCGGCAGGCCAAAAAGAAATGGATTTGTTGAATATGACGGAGGACCAGCATCGGCTTCCAGCTCGACGCTTCTCTTCGATATCGCCGGCTTCAAGGTGTATCCGAAGCATCCAAACATAATCACCAAGTCATCTTGCAAGGCGCCAAACAACCTCGACTTGAGCAAACATTTACGTGTAATTGTCAGATGACAGAGATTGGACAGAGAGGCCTTCTGTTGCAAAGCCATAGACTGAGGTATCGCTTTGTCTTCGCGTTGGCTGAGTTGGTGTAAAATCTTTTTTTGCGTTTTTAAATGAACTGCCGATAAAAGAGGTAGCTCACCGTGTCGCAGCTATCCAGTCGCGTAAACCAATCCTACTTACTCGATCGGTAATATCTTTCAAGGTAATTTTCCAAGAGTGATACTAGAAAAGACCACTCGTCATCGTCTGGTTCAGCAAGATCAGGGAAACATTACCAAGGCCTGCCGAAGAGTGACGGGCTACGATATCGGCAACACATAAGGGTTTCGGTAGAGCATTTCGCTCTTCTTAAAACTGGAACTGTATATCAGGTCGAAGATCTGAACTGTTTCATCAAGTGTTGCGGCCTTGCGTATGAACTCCCCCCAAGCTGCTGCGGAAAATGCGTAGAGTTTCAACTTCTCAGAAATGCTCAGAGTGAGGTTGCCATTGTTTTCAAAAATAATTGCGAAATGAAGAATGAAATAGACGGTGCAGTGAGACCAGAGTAAGATTTCAAGCTCAAGCCCAAGGTTCAGATTCAGAGGGTGAGGTTGGGGAGAGGAGTGTCACGGTCATGGTCACGCCCTCTCCTTTGCGACACATTCAACGCGTCGCGTCTTGTCTTCATTTATCTATGTTCGCCATTGTTCCCCTTCTTGACTATGGCGGTTGTTCTGCACATTTAATCCCCGCACGCAACTTTCCGAGCACGCACGCAACTTTCGACCAGCGCGCAACTTTTGGATGCTAAATTTGACCGCACGGCGCAACTTCCGACTATGTAAAGGCATCAACTCTTCCATGTAATTCCTTTTGAACCACCCTCTAGCTACCCCAGCCCTACCTTCTACCACTTCATATAATTTTTATCTAAAATGACCAGGTCACAATTTCGCACTTTTCACTGATTTCTATTCATCTCCTTCATATTAATTCTTATAGTCATCCCCAGGCCATCTGCTTGCTTCAAATTGACCAAAGGGTATCCTGTAGCATGTGAATCAGTTGTTATACGTAGTAATGAAGGTTACTGGCAAGACTGGTGATGTAACTGATGAGTAGTATGCTCCTCCACCCCTCTCCATGCACCATCTCCCATGTAAAGTGCCCCTATATTCTCATTGCTATACTATTATACTACCTTTCTATCAAATAACATACATGACACACTAAATTACAGCATAAATAACAAAATGCTTGAGAGTAACAGTGGCTCGGGGGATATGGTGAGAACCAGTACCGGATTTGGTAGTTGGCAATGATCAAGCCGATAATTCCGATCCTGATGATGGAATTTACCTTAGAAGGATATTGAGACTCCGCCTGATCGCTTCTCATGTTGCAACGTCAACCTTCTACACTGTCACACGTTGACGGACATATGCCGCTCGCTGTCAAGCACAATGAGCTCGTACCTTAGTTTCAATGCAAAGTATTTGATACAATAGATTCTGCAATGATACTCTACGTACTATTTTAAAATTGAAACAGAGAAAAGAAGATTTAGGCAATAAATAGATGTACATTATGTGAGCTTGCCGTGTTCAACGACGATGAGAGACTTCGGGACGATGTTGAGGATTGCTTGGGTGACGTTGCATGAGAAATGCTAGACCAAACAACCGAATTTAGCATCCAAAAGTTGCGCGCTGGTCGAAAGTTGCGTGCGCGCTCGGAAAGTTGCGTGCGGGGATTAAATGTGCAGAACAACCGCCATACTTGACTGTCTCTTCGCAGTCCTCTCTCTTTGTGCCTTCTTGCACGCCGTGTTTACTTGTCACCATTCCTTTCCTCCATTCATTCTCTTATGCATGTCTTCCTTAGGTATGCTCTCTTGTTATTCATTTAGTATATAGCTACTCTGTGTACTTCGTAGCTACTCGTCTAATCAACGCGCATTCTGCCTTGCCCATTTCCATCCGTGTGAACTTCTCTCGCCGTCTCGATCAACCTTGCCCGTAACAGTTTGATTAGACCAACGCCGATTGTTTTCGTGTTTGCTCCCTGCTCGTCATCCTCTTCCCTTCTTTTCTCCAATGTCAAACATGGACGACATCCAGCAGATTCCGCCCCCCACCGATCCCCAACTTGCTCAGCCAACCCAGGAGCAGTTACTCGATCTTGAACGCATCACGCTCTGGCGCGCTGTCACGGCTCTTGGACAAGCCTATGACAACATCTCTATGGATACCAGCGCACAACGAGACGGACTTACTCAACTTATGGACCACCTAGTCGAACGTTCCGAAAGACCCTCTACCGGCGGAACCACCAAACATCGTGAGCCTCGCGTCTTCAATGGCCGAGCTGACCAATTAGAGTCCTTCCTCCGTGAAATCAATAACGCCATCCATCTCCAACGCCGCTCCCTTTCCACAGATCGCGACAAGATCATTTATTTCAGTTTCTATCTAGCTGACGGTGCTCCCTCCTCTTGGTACCGCACCATTGAACTCGATCAATCCAAGTCCTACCTTCTCGAAGACTATGACGCATTCATCAACAACTTCCGTGATCGCTTCTGTGATTCCGATCAATACGCCTCCGCCCTCCGTAAAGTCCGCAAGATCAAACAGATTGGATCTTGCGCCGCGTTCACCAACCAGTTTATCAAAATCCTCGCTGAGCTCGACTGGACCGAACAAACGAAAATCCAGGAGTATTACGATCGCCTAAAGGACTCTGTCAAAATCACCCTTTGCAATAGAAAGGGGCGTTACTTTTCACTGGACTTCGACGAGTATTCTAAAGCCTGCATTGACATCGACAACGAACTACATTCTCTCTCTCTCGACACCACTCATCGTCCCTCTACCACCTCTTCCTTCTCTTCGAAAAAACATTCCCATTCCCATCCCCCTACACCATCCACTTCTACTACCACATCCGGCAACAACGACGTCGTTCCCATGGAAATTGATTCCATCCGTCGTGGTCCCTTATCCGCCGAAGAAAAAGCTCGCCGCAAGAAAGAAGGCCTATGCCTATACTGTGGCAAGGGTAAGCATTTTGCTGCGGATTGCCCCAACAAGAAGAAGCCTTCCCCTTTGGGAAAAGCTTGAGCGGTAGCCCCTTGAACAAGGTCCTTGGGCTGCCGAATTCTGATGTTAGGACCCATCTGCCCACTACGGCACCGCCCACCCACGTCCGTCATTCCAACGGAAAGTGGTACCCTCGTCCCGATCTCCCCATTCCTCGCTACGTCCTCGCCTCCTCTCCAGACTCCTCCGAACACTTCCTCATCCCCATCATTCTCCGTTTTCCAAACCGCAAACCCATCCACACCACCGCTCTCATCGATTCCGGTGCCTCACAATCATGTATATCCGAACGCTTCGCCTCACGTCATTCACTCCCTCGTCGTTGTAAAGAAACTCCCATCCCCATCCTAGCCGTCGACAACCGCCCAATCGCCTCTGGCCTCGTCACCCATGACATCTTTGCCAACATCGACATCAACGAACACTCCGAAACCTTCCCCCTCGCCGTCGTCTCAGTCCACTTCCCCGTCATCCTAGGCCTTGATTGGCTTCGCGTTCATAACCCCGCAATTGACTGGACCGACCCCTGCATATCACTTTCTTGTTGTAATCTGAACCCTATACGGCCAGTGCGCATTCGGCCCAAAGGCTTCGGTCTTGTTGGAGCCACCCCCCTTGAAGCTCCTCGCGCTTATTCAGTTTCGTCCGTAGGACTAGGCCTCGGTCTTCGTCCTCGCCTTGCCACGCCCCTGCCTCCTGCAGCAACACCTTCACCAGTTCCTCCTCCTCCCAAATCCTCTTTCCTTAGTTTCTTATCCCAGTCCGGCAACGGCTCCGGTCGTGATCCCCTCGCAAATCCCTTGACACCACCTTCCCCTAAAATCTCCATCTGTTCGCTTTCACGTTTCACTAAGTACGCGAAAAACCAAGATGTCGGTATACTCAAATTCCATCCAGTTGGCTCCCCCATTTACATTGCCGCTACTTCCTCCTCCCTTGCTGACGACATCTCCGAGCCTTCCCCTCCTCCTGACATCCCTGGCTTGCCAGACAAGTACAAAGCCTGGGCCAACACTGTCTTTTCCCCCACCGCCGTAGATGATCTTCCCCCTCACCGCCCTTACGACTGCACTATTGATATCGAGGAAGGCAAATCACCCCCTTTCGGTCCCCTTTACCGCCTCTCCCAAGACGAGAACAAGGCTCTTGCAGCTTATCTCGACGAAAACCTCGCTAAGGGTTTTATCCGCCGTTCTTCTTCCTCAGCTGCGTCCCCCATCCTGTTTATAAAACGCAAAACCGGCGAACTCCGTTTATGCGTCGACTACCGAGGTCTCAACTCCATTTCCAAGAAAAATCGTTATCCCATCCCCCACATTGACGATCTCCTCGACCAAACTCGCAATTGCAAAGTCTTCTCCGTTATCGACCTTAGGAATGCTTTCAACCTCATTCGCATACGCGAAGGCGACGAATGGAAAACCGCCTTCCGCACTCCTCAAGGCCTCTATGAGTACCTTGTCATGCCCTTCGGTCTCACCAATGCACCCGCCACCTTCCAGTCATTTATTCAAGACACACTCCGTGAATACCTCGGCCTCTTCTGTGTTGTTTACCTCGACGACATTCTAGTCTTCTCCACCTCCCAATCCGAACACGACGCCCACGTTAAACTCATCCTCGATAAACTCAAAGACGCCCGCCTTTTCGCCAACCCCGCCAAATGTGAATTTGACAAATCTCAAGTCGAGTACCTCGGTTTCCTCGTCGGTTCTGATGGCATCAAAATGAACCCTAAGAAGCTCGCCACCATCTCCGATTGGCCCACCCCACGTTCTGCACACGATATCCAGGTTTTCCTCGGTTTTTGCAATTTCTACCGGCGTTTTATTGATCATTACGCTTCCATTGCCATTCCCCTCAACCGCCTTACGCACAAAAACACCACCTTTGTTTGGTCTTCTGACGCCAACTCCGCTTTCGAAAAACTCAAAAACTCCTTCCTCTCATACCCCATCCTTCGTCATTACGACCCCTCTAAACCTGCCACACTCTCCACCGATGCCTCTGACTTTGCTTTGTCTGGCATACTCCAGCAGCCTGACTCCTCCGGCTCCCTTCGCCCCGTTGCCTACTTCTCACGCAAGTTCTCCCCCGCCGAAATTAACTACGACATCCATGACAAGGAACTCCTGGCAATCATTGAATCCTTCCGCGACATGCGCGCCTGGCTAATGGGCACTGCGCAAACCATCTCTGTCACTTGTGATCACAAGAATCTCGAGTACTTCATGACTTCTCGAACACTCAACCGTCGTCAAGCACGTTGGGCTATGTTCCTCTCAGATTTCGACTTCACCCTTTCCTGGGCTCCTGGCTCTCAGAATCCTGCTGACGGTCCCTCACGTCGTCCAGACTTTATGCCTAAAAAGGGAGATGACGTCCTATTACAACAGAACCAAGCCATCCTTTCACCCTACCACATCCAAAACATCTTCTCCTCTGACACTCCTCCCTCCCCCATCCACGTTGCCGCCACTTCCACACTCACCATCGACAATTCTGAACTCTTTGACCGTTTCCGGCTCGCTTATCAAGAAGATACAACTTGGCGCGAATCCCTCCTTCGCGGAGACACCAGTTTCACTACCACCGACGACCTGGTATTTCACAACGGCCGCGTTTACGTTCCTCCTCCCCTTCGCCTCGACATCATGCACCAACACCACGACGCCGTCCTTGGAGGTCATCCAGGACGTACCATCACACTCAACAAAATCCTTCGCAGTTATTCATGGCCGGGTCTCTACACCTTCACCCGCCGCTACGTTGCAGCCTGTGACACCTGCAACCGTACGAAAATCCCTTGTCACAAGCCATATGGACTCCTCAAACCTCTCGACATCCCCAGCCGCCCTTGGAAGTCCATCTCTATGGACTTCATAGTCAAACTCCCCATCTCCCACGGTTATGACTCTATCCTCGTCGTTTGTGACCGCCTCACGCGCGCCGCCCATTTCATCCCATGCAATGAGAGCATGACCGCTTCCGAGCTTGCATGGCTTTTTATCGACCGCATCTTCCGCTATCACGGCCTGCCCGACTCCATTATCTCTGATCGAGGTTCACTTTTCATCTCCAACTTCTGGAAATCCCTTACCACCCACCTTTCCATCAATCTTCGACATTCCACTGCTTATCACCCTCGCACCGACGGCCTTACTGAACGCACCAACCAAACACTGGAAACTTACATCCGCGCCTACTGTTCTTACCAACAAGACGATTGGGTCGACTATCTTCCTCTCTCCGAATTTGTGTTCAATAGCGCCGAGAACGCCTCCACCAAACAAACTCCCTTCCTCGCCAACATGGGCTATCACCCAACATTCACCCCTCAACTCGCTGAAATATCCACTGTCCCCGCCGCCGACGATCTTGCTCAACGGCTTGATCGCATTCACTCGGAACTCAAGATCGAACTCGAGTTTGCTCAAGACCGCCAACGCAAGTCATTCAATAGAAAAGTCATTCCCTCCCCTGTCTACCAGCCTGACCAACTCGTTTGGTTACTCCGTCGCAACATCCGCACCACTCGACCCTCACTCAAACTTGATCACCGCCGCCTTGGTCCTTTCCCCGTCATTCGCGCCATTGGCAATGACGCTTATCTTCTGCGACTTCCCTCTTACCTCTCACGCCTCCATCCCGTGTTTCACACTTCACTCCTCGAGCCTTACTCCGACCCTTCAGAATTCCACACTCACGCTGAACCAGAACCCTTTCAACTCGCCGAAAATCCATTTGAGACGATCTCCGAAATTACCGACGTCCTCGATTGCCGCAAGACAGGACATCGCTATGACTACCTGGTCCGATGGAAGGATCTTTCCACAGACGATAACTCCTGGGTTCCTCTTCAGGAACTTCCCACTTCAGCAAACGAACTCCTTGAACGGTTCCATCGCCGCAACCCTCGTGCCCCTCGACCTCACGCCCTCGTTCTCAACCATCTAGCCCTTTCCCCCTCTGAATTCAACTTCGATATTCCTCCCGACTCCGATTCCGTTCTGTCCCCCATATCCGTTCCCGATTCCTCTGCTCACAAACGTCCAAAGTCGCCTCCTTTAACTCGTTCCAACTTACGTTCTATTTACACTCCTCCTTCTTCTACAACGTTGTCTACCGGTCGTGTATCCCGTCCTCACCCTCGCTACTCCACCAATGTCTCCTCGTAAAAAGGGAGATAATGTCACGGTCATGGTCACGCCCTCTCCTTTGCGACACATTCAACGCGTCGCGTCGCGTCTTCATTTATCTATGTTCGCCATTGTTCCCCTTCTTGACTGTCTCTTCGCAGTCCTCTCTCTTTGTGCCTTCTTGCACGCCGTGTTTACTTGTCACCATTCCTTTCCTCCATTCATTCTCTTATGCATGTCTTCCTTAGGTATGCTCTCTTGTTATTCATTTAGTATATAGCTACTCTGTGTACTTCGTAGCTACTCGTCTAATCAACGCGCATTCTGCCTTGCCCATTTCCATCCGTGTGAACTTCTCTCGCCGTCTCGATCAACCTTGCCCGTAACAAGGAGGACTCAAGGAGTGACTGCATAGTCGTGACTTGTGACTTCACCCGTTTTTGTGTCACAACGCTCAGGAACGTTACAATACGACCTCGATAGTCCACCAATTTTTTCTCACTCAAATGGGATGGTTCTCAAGCAGCTCTAAAACCGAAGAACCCGGTGCTCCTTCAAGAGAGGACCGTAAAAAGTGCTGGGAGACGAGGGATGCCTATTTTGCTTGCTTGGACTCTGTCGGGGTGGTGAAAGCTGGAGCGGAAGGCAATGCGTGCGGAAAGGAGAAGAAAAGATACGAAGATAGTTGTGCGAAGAGCTGGGTAAGTTGTCGTTCCGAGCGCCTGGAATCCTCGCACGCTGACTTGTGGTCATGACCCGTTCACAGATTGACTACTTTAACCAACGGCGGGTAATCGCGGATGCACAGAGGGAAAGACTGGCGCAGGGAGATTCACAGGCGGGGAACACACGGAGGTAGCGAAGATCTCCGCATACATAGGGTCCAGTTTTCTTGGTGACTCTCCCCGCCTATCACTTTTCATTTCCCCATTGACTCGACTGCCGCGGTCAGCCTTGATGCGGATACCTCGATTGTACAAGAGCCTGCTGGGTTTGCACACCCTCTTGTATGTATACGTACTGAAGTCTGCACGGAAGTAGCTTTTTGAGTGCATCCCACTTTACTCTGTAATACCAACGACGCTGATGTTTGAGCTCCTTCCAGTGGTTGATTTCGGCTTACATTTCGTTCAACTGGCGACCTACTTTTGGCTTAGAACTTTTTCGAACAACTTTGGAGAAAACATCTAGATGATGATGAAGTCGCTTCTTTAGGCTCTTTTTTTTCTCGTTATCTATTTTGCCCATGGCATCCACAGAAGGTCCGTTTTCGGGGACTTTGCGATCTGGGAGTGATTCTGGGTGAGTACATAGTTGTCCCTTATCAATATTATGAAGCCTAGCGCCAAATGTACGGCATGGCTTTTGACAGCCAGCGATGTTTCGTCCTACAACCGTCAAGTTTCCACGTCAAGTCTTGACGCGATATTATTCTCGACGTGCCGATGATAACAATCACGATATAGTACTTGTGCGATCAATTGGTCACCTAGTTCGCGCTCGGAGATGCGTCGATCACCCAAAGTCGCTGGAATGTGAAAGCCATCACAACATGAGGTGGTCATTTCCCTTGTGGCTTGGGTATCGAACCATACCCATATATTCCAACTGACCCTTCTGATATTGATCATGAAAGTAAAACATGGGCGAGACACTTGCATTCACGTACCCAGGGTAAGCATTTTCTAGCTTTTGTCTGTCACTCGTTCACATGGGGTAGCGTTGTTTGACAGGTTGAACAACAAAGCGTGAAACACCATCTCATTCTCACCAGTACAGCATCTTGGCTCAATCCCTCACGATTCCTACTTACTCAGTCATAATACCACACGGCACCCTTCGGTGTTGATTTTCCAACGGCTATCAGGCCCAATATTACATGCACGTTCCACCTTGCTTCTATCTGATGTTTTAACACGGTCCAAAGCAAGTCCAGTGGTCGTTGTTACATGGAACTCACAACATATATATGGGTCTCACCTCATCAGAAAGTTCGCCGACTGGGACGGGTTTCTTTTTTTCGACGTATACGTACTTTGTCGACGAACACAAGCAACGACGGACTTCCTTGCACTACCTTAGGAACGTTTCCTGAGCTTCCTCAAGGACGTGATCCTGCTTAGTCATCGTTGTAGGTGAGTTTCAACCACGATCCTTGTCTTTCGAATACGCCGCGCATCGACGTCACTGCCACATTGATGTGATCCTTTGGAGCGGCGTGTCAGTATATAAACAAACCATGCATGAAAGCAGCCCTTTGCGGGTCTTTTGCCTCCCTCATCATGGCCATCCTCGCCCCTCCAACGCCTGTGCATAGCGTACGAGGATATTCGGACTTCTTCACATCGGGCTTGCGTGCAGTCACAAGCCATGTTTCTCGTCCGTATTCGGTCTCAAGCTCCCTGAGAGTTTTGGACGCCACACGCGCCACTGAGGACCCACCTCAGTACGCAGGCACTCTCCATGGACGCGCTCAACGTCGAGCGCGTCCCACGTCAATGATCGTGTCGAAGTCTAACCAGTCATGTGAAAATTCCCGAGGACGGCGATCATCCATCATTGCATTTTCCTCCCGGCTACTCGACCGCATGATACTTGCATCCGCCGACGAAAATGCAGATGTTTCCGCCGGTCGTCGAAGAAGCAAGAGATCTTCGCGACCATTAGAAGATTCCAATTCACAGGTACCACAGGATTGGATTACTACCGGGGGTCCCTTCACGCCTTCGTCCCCCAACGGGCGGTAAGTGCCTTAACCCCTCATCGATGGCTTCCACCTTATTTTCTGTACGTTAGGCCTGATGAATACGTCCCACTGAACACCGATCCCTTCACATCCTCCCCCGATTCCAAGTCTTTCTTCATTGATCTCTCGGATAGCTCCCTGTCTCACACACCAAAACGGGAGTCATTCCTGTCGTTGAGTGGTTCATCCCCAGATCGCTCACTTCTACACGTTTCCCGGCGCGAGCGTCCAGCATCTATCCAGACGATGCCTGTACTATCCCGCTCCCGACGATCCTCCCTGCAATATCGTCCTATCAGCCAAGATAAGCCCAACTTCTTCTGGACACTAGAAGAAGAGCCTCCAATCCTGGCAGCGGAGCCCCTTGTTGAGGACCATGAAGATCGCGATGATCTCGCTAGGTTTGACTGGCGTCAATTCCATGTCGATTTGATATCGGACAACCTTTAACTCTTGGGTGTATTTGGAGCAGCAAATGTAAATAGGCATTGTATCATATGCAAACTAGGTGTAAGATAGGCTTATGCCCCTAGCCACGTCAGATTTCTTCATGTTTGGTATTTATTGTGGTCACCGCTGGAATCCCGCAAGAAAAAGAGTGGGTGTTCGGGGATGCTTTGTATAATAAATGGACCGGTTTTCTCAGAGTTTTGTTTTTTTTTGGGGGGGAGAAACGATTTGGGGAAGACAATGGATGCTATCAGCGACGTATGTCGCCATTACGTTCCGCAGTGCGAATCACTGCGTAAAGCCTACAACAAAAAAGTAAAAATGGCTGTCATAATAGGCAATGCATTAACCACTACAAAAAGATGTTTGTTTATAAGAGAGATGCAGTTGAGACGGTCAGACCTCCGAGAAAATTGTAACATCAGATGCATGAAAGATAAAAAATTATGAGAGAAAAGTGAGAAAAAAACAGTAAAAACAACTGGTGACATAGTGTACATACAACAATCCGCGATGGAAATCATGAGTGTGTCGTGTGGGCGGGGCCTTCCGGTATAACTAACCCTGTCCTTGATATTTCTTGATAAGATCCCGCAGCCGAGCCTGTCCAAAAGCCAGATCTCCAGGTGCCGCTGCGGGTTTCGCGGATATTCCCCGCGGTTGTTGTGAAGGAAAACTCGAAGGCGGACCAAGTCCAATAATGGGTGCTTTATTCCCAGGTCCGACTTTCAAACCACCACCACCGGCACGTGGCCTAGCCAACGAAGCGGTTGATGAGAGCATAGGAGTAGCATGAGATGGGGAAATCACAGCTGGAACAGACGACGACTTGATCAAAGCCTGAGGTTCCGTTTTCCTCCCCGTAAGCTCGTGCAACCGCGGTTCCGTCGTAGAAAGAACCGGCGAGGACAAATTGGTGGGCGTAAGCTGGCCTGGAGATCGAAAGACCTTGGTTGTCGGTGATTGATCGACACATTTGGGAGAGAGCGCATCGGTAGATTTACTTCGTATATTTGTGACAGGCCCTTGTGTGGTCGATAAAACCGTTGCCGATTGAGGCTTACGGGGAGCTTTTTGGGGCCTTCGAGACATGGGGGGAAGGGGATCCCTTGCCTTTGGCTCTGCAGCTGGTCCCAAACGAGGAGGTGTACCATGCTTGCCAGGTGGTCTTACCGGTTTCGCAGCAGGAGAAGTGATACCATCACGCAGTACCTGAGGCTTTGCAGTGTTGTTGTTCGCAGCAGCTGATGCCCAAATAGATGCTACAGCAGCGACCTTTCCGCCCCTTCCACCTCGTGCAGAGCGAATGTCATACTTGACTTCGGGGTCTTTATTTGGCGTTGTCAAAGAGGGGAAAGCGGGCAAACGCGGAGAGGGTTGGACAGCTTTCTTTGGTGGAACAGCTGGTGCCGGGTCGGCTTCGCCCTTGATAGTGGGATCTGGGAGTTTCCAGACATTTCTGACAGGAGGACACACAGCAGCTGCATACCCACGTGCTTTGGGCGCAGCTTTTATTGTTGAGGGAGGTGATACTTTCCTCTCTGTCCTCACAGACTGCGTTGTTGGTTGAGATGGAGACGTGACTGGGGCATCAACGACATTCACCACAGGAGAAGCAGACGACCAGAGGCTAGCAACTCTCCTGGCTTCTTCAACGACACTCATTTCTTTGGTAACGAGATGTCGCTGAGCTGGATCCCTCTTCAAAGTTGCAAGAGGCATGAATCCTGAGGAACGAGGATTGGGTGCAGATGAGACGTCTTGTTGAACCACTTCTGGTTGGGGATATTCAACAGGCATTGCAGTTGCGGTTTGCTCGACAGGTATACCCCCAAGTACGTCGAAAAGATTGCAAGGTTCAGCAAGATCGGATGGCGTACGAGCAACACTTGGGCTGGGAGGTATCACCTCCTCCTCTTGAGGTGGCACATCTGGATCAATTCCACCCAACCAAGCCGCCACTCGTCCCTTCGCAGCAGTTTTACTGCGCACCTTGTCAGACGTCCTCTTCTTCTTGCCTTTCTTTTCTGTCTTTGCGTTGTTATCTTCGAGGAAAAGCTTCTCATCTCTCCTCGACAACGCCTCAGGCCTGCCACGAGCACGAGCACCCCTACTTCCATCCGTTACATTCCCAATACTTCGCCCCCTCTCTTCCCCAGATCCACTCGACCTGCCTCCCCTATGCGTCTTCGCCTCAACGTCCGCATCAGAGTCATGATCAACCTCAGGCTCAGGCTCATGCTCGTGGTCCTGATCCTGGTACGCAGCATGATCAGCAAGCGTCAAGCTCGAAATCGCAGAATCATTCAACGGTTCCGGGCTCTTATTCGGAATAGCAATAGGCATCACTGCCGAGCGCGCATCAGGTCGCTTGCGACAAGGGTCGAGCTTGCGTGTGCCCACTTCCATGAGAAGCCTCCTCTCCAATGCATCTAGACCACTCTCTCCACATCCACCCACTCCAAGCAGGACGTTGTTGCCCCGCGGATACCGCGTAGGATGGACTGCCATCAATGTAGGCGTTGGGGGTGTTTTCTCGTCTAATGGTAGCAATAACATGGATTGAGGTGGTTGCGAGGGAGGTGGAAACGAATTCGCATTCGCCTGGGTGCTCGAAGGAGAAGATAATTGATATGCTTTGCTCTTTAAGATTTCTGCAGGAACTGGTGGACCAGGCAACGTCTTATTAATATCCACGTCTAGATCGTTGTTCATCCTGTTCGATAGCATCGCCACACCACCATCGGTCTTGGGCAAGTCTCCTGAAAGGTCCTTGCTCCGTTCAACTACGGCGTCCGCCATCCTTTCCAGTTGCTCCACCCTCTCACTCTTGGGAAGTGTATGGTGCGTGATCGGGTCAACTGTGAATGAATGCTTCGGCGTCAGCTGGGGTCTTGGAGAGTGCACCACACCCTCCGAGGCAGGAGGAGATCCGAAAAGATTATTCTGTGGAAGGAGAAGAGGCGGGGGCGGCAGACTGCGGAAGTTTTTGATAGGGGGAGGAGCTTCTACGTGTGAGGGTGGTGGAAGAGGAAGGGGGTATCGATGTGACTGGGGCGACACAGAACGATGACGAGATGAAAGTCTTAAATGCGTGGCTACTCGCAAAGCAAGCTCGCCCTTCCCTTCTTCTGGTTCGAATTCGGTGCCTGATGCAGGAACATTGCCCATGCCAGGCAGAGGGACCTGTGACACTGAGGTGTTGGCGCCAGCACTCAAAGGACGTGTGGTATAGCCATGAGCATGGACAGGAACGTTGGGTATTGGTGGTAACGGGCCAAAGTAAGGCATTTGCTGAATTTGTGGAGAAATATAAGGATATGGTTGGGCCAGTGGTTGCGGCGTAATAGGCAGGGGAAGAGAAGGCGGGAGCCAGACGTGATTTTGGTCAACGTAAGGCAGCTGAAAGGGCGGAGGAGACATGGGAAGTGCAGGGTAGAATTGGTTAGTAAGGTCAGGATAAACGGACGTCTCCGGCACTGGAGAGGTATAAGGATACGCAGACGCAGGAGATGAGTAATGAGGGTTGTCTGGCGGTGGAACTGCCAGTGGGTGAACGAAGGTGACAGGAAGCTCAAGAACAATATCCTTGCTGCTCGACTGTGAGCACGGGGATGGGATAAAAGGCAATTGACCTACCTCCCGAATCCCATGGCCATCTTGATCTCCACCGAACAACGAACTTCAAACAATGACTCTGTCGTACGAGGAGGCTCTGTCTCATCTCCGACTAATGTTCCCCCTCTCACTCCTCGTGCTTCCTTGGGAACGTCAAATACTAAACTGGCCACTCCCTCTGCCCCTGGAGGAATAGTGTATTCTGCACCACGGAACGGAACTACCGTAAGCATGTCCGATATTCGCAATGGCTGGTTTGCTGGCCCTTTACTGCCAGGCAGTACGAGCGTTCGTGTAAGAGACAGCGTCAAACCTGTATTCTGAGGCATCAAGTTAGTATTGTGCATTTGAAGGGAAGAAAACAAACCAACCTTCTTGGTGGAATGGTTCTTCACCTGCAGCTCTACGCACGCAGTTCCACCAGCGACAACGGCACCTCCAACCAGCGTCCCCTGCATCCAAAACTTGCCTTTCTCTCCCACAACGACTCCTTGAGATTCTTTACCTCCATATGTTTCTTCATACGGATAGGCAGCTACTACTTCCAACGCGCGATTATCAGTTACAAGGCGCCTTTCGCCCTTCCAAAACACGCCTACACTGGCTCGGAGTTCATACCGGACCTTGGCCAAGCCAGACCCAAAATTGATGGCAGATGGAGAGGACTCTGGTATGGGAATTCGGAAGAGGAAAGTAGAGCGGCCGCGCCGAGCTTGGTGATAATGCGGTGGGAGCACAGGGTACCCTGGTATGGGGTGGGCCTGGACAGCATTTGATGGTGGGAGATTGGGGCCTTGGAATAAGCGTCTGCTGTATAAGAAAACGGACGTCGCTGAGTGGTCGCGCGAGCACAATTCTGAAGCGAGAGCGAGAGATCAGCGGAAGGCAGGGCATACGCGGATGCTTAGTAAATACCTTGCACTGCGAAAAGCTCAACCATCATGACGCCTATGCCTAGCCCTTTGTCTGCTCGACACTCCATCTCCATCTTTCCGGAAACGTGTGTCCCAGCTACGAATGTCGTGTCCGCGAATGAAAGTGATACCTTGACCTTCGAGTGGTGTGGGGTGGCGTTCATTGGCTCAGGCATCGCCTGACCTGACGCCATCGCCATACGAGTAAGGGTTGTTGTTGCTGAGTCCACTTGCGTTTAATTTTGAATAGATTTGTAAATGAATATGAGTTTTGAGAGCCGATTGTTACGATGGAAGAAGGCGAGTATTTGGCGGAATAACTTGACAAGATGAGAGTTGGGTGATCACTGCGGTGTAAAATCGCCGCGACCGTGTCGGATAAGAGCCTTGAGAAGAAAAAAGAATCATTATTCGAGGCAAATATTGCAGCCCAGGATTTTCTCAGTCGCTGGACGACATATTGTGCTGGTCGTGTGTTGGAAGTGAGTGAGCAGAGGAACCCAGGATGAGCCGTGACAGGATTGTGACCGCCCTCAATTCAAATCTTCCAAAGTTCCTTGGCATCGCCCTCAAAGTCACAGAAACTTTTCTACCAATGCTACTTATACGGAGGTCGGCAGTTCGATGACAGGAAAGGCTCTTCAAGTTTCTCCCTTCCTCAATACTTATCAGAAAATAACTTAGAAGGTAGTCCGTGTAATTTTATGTAGACGCCAATTTTCGCTGATCCAGAAACCCAGCACTCAACGGTACCTCCTGGTCCCTCAGACCCGTCAGCTTTTGCTCCGTTGCTGCTCTGCCGCCTGAACGTAGAGAAGCCCCTCCATGGGCATTACAGCCGCGTTGATGTCATCACCTTTGGTGTGATATGGGTCGCTCGCATCTCACGACATGGCGTAAAGGGGTCATTCTTTGGGAACGATGCAAAGACTCTGGAGGCTCAAGCGCTGACGATGCAATTCATTAAACAGAACACCAGCGTTCCTGTTCAGACGTGGTCCATTACGATATGACATTCGATCACGAGTCGGGAGCGCCCCTCATGATGGCCTGGTTGGACGGAATACCTCTCCGGAATGGCTGACCTCGCTCAGCATCTGATACCCGGTCAGTCGCTAGAGCGGTGGGCCAGCTTAGTTTCTCTCATTCGTCGAAAGTGCGAGAACTGCATTTTGAACTAGTCGATGGTCAGAGCCTTGGGTGCAACTAAAAGACATCTTGGGATGCTGCGACTAAAAGACATCAAAAGCTTACACTCGGTGCATGTCGACGAGAGCTTCTATGACAAGCCCGATGCCTTGACTATGTTCACCAATCTAGGGCCATTTGAGCACACAAGCCTTCTTCACGCACTGGAAAGGGATTCTTACAAGTCATAATTGACGCCGCTAATGAACAGTCGGTCCTCACACGCCCGGATTACGACGTCCAAAGCTGCTTATTATTCGACAAAGAGGACTCGCTATTGGAATCATCGATTGGGACGGCGTCATTACTTATCCACGCACTCTTGGATATGCGCGATACTCCGGCTGGATAACGAGGAACTTGGACCCCCATATATGGATGGAAACCGGACGCCCAGAACGGGAAAGACTCGCCCGAGAGATTGAAACGGCTGAGAAAAGCTCTATTACCAAAATATCGAAGAAGAACTGGGCGAGGACGAGGCCAGAGTAATGATCAATTCACTTCTATTTGAGGGGATTGTGATTGCGGCGACATATCTGTCAGGGTCCACGAGTGATATAGAGGCAGATGAAGATAGGGAAGACGGAAATGAAGGCGAAGATAACGATATTGACAAACGCGGCGAGGGCGACAAGGAGGATTCCTACCTCATGGAAGATCTAGACTTTTGGTTATATGTGCATGGCGTTCGATGAAGGACTTATCGCAAGAGGATATCGAAAAGGCTGCTCGAGCGTTTCTTCATATGTACTGAGCACATTGTTAAATAAATGAAAGACGGCTTGCAGGCAGGAATTGAGGTGTGCGAACATAGAAGCAGATAGGCTTACCTTGTCACTGCCAGTCACCGTGAAGTCATTCTACAAGCACAGGTCAGTTGTCATCTACAGTGCGACGCCCTCTGGGCTCTTCAACACCGTAGAGTCCAGATCCTAGGCACCATTCCTATGCTCCGAGGCTACGGCAGTTGTGCTGTGCTCGACACTGCATAGTACATACTGCACCAATATGGGGGAATCCACAAAGCTGACCACTTCATACCAGGTTCAGTCTCAACGCAGATCGACTTCGAAACGAGCCTACATCTCAACCAAGACATGTACGTGAATCATGTCATATCAGATTTCATTCAAGTCTGATAGAAAGCCCACACGAAACAGCCCAAATCTGTCTCACGAAGCCACTTAACCTCTTTCATCGCAACCATGCCAGCAAAATATTCGCATGTAAGGAAGAAATCCACCTCTGGCCTACTCAAGAAAGGCGGTACCGGTGGTCCAAATGGCCACCATATCATCAAAGAGACGCACCATCCCCGCCCAATGAACCCACACATCGACAGAAGCATCACCCAGGCCATGTCCGCGGTCTCTCAGCTCGAACGCGCCATTGCACGTATCCTTCTCCTCCGCTACGAGCACGACATGGCTCGCCTCTTCTCAACAAGGCTTTACAGCATCGCACTTGTCCACCTACCCACCTTCGTCATGCGGTGTGCTTCTCTCGGTGGTCCAGGATGGCTTGCATATAATCACGATTGTGACGAGATCAAAGACTTTTTCCGGGCTGTCATCAGCATGGATATGCGCGAGGCAGGAGAGAGGGTGGCGACGAAGAGTGTACTTTGGTCATATACCGCTCTGCGTCATTTCGTACGTCATTCATCTTTTACATCTACCATTAAAATAACTTGTTACAGGCTTTATCGAACAGCGTACCCATATGCAACAAGAAAGGCCTACACTCCCTTCGTCTCCTACCCTTCTTCCCCGCTTTAAAAGCGCACCTCGATTCCCTCGAGGCAATGCCCCCAGCTACATTTACCAAACCCCCGCATCTAGGCTCACTTCAAGAAGGTCAGGACGCGCTGGAAGACGCCTGTGAGCTCAAGCATGGTGGGTTTGGAGACGTGCGTCATCCTGATTGGGACGGGGACTGGCGATTGAAGATCCGCGTGGGATACGAGCGGCTTTCTCAGACACTCTGGAAAGTTGCTCGCGAATTTGATGTACGCGGGTACGGCATGGTGCTTCGAGAAAAGTTAACCACGAAATGGTGTGATTGTGGATGTTCGACGGACCACTTGGGCGAAGTGTGTGAGGGTACGGTGAGGGAGGACGAGGAGGATAGTGGGGTACGGTTTGGGAAGCAGAAGGAGTGGGATGGGCGGGGCAGTGGTGTTTATGGTTGGGAGACGGAGGATGAGGAGGATATTTGGGAGATTGATTTAGATTTTGGTAGTGCTGGCCCGGAGGAGTGTGAAGGTGCGGTGGATTCGGAGATGACGATTGTTGAGATGATGGAGTGGCGGTTCCTCAAGGCTGAGAGGGAAAAGGAACAGGTGGGATGTGTTGTGCATTCCTTGTAATTGGTTCTCACACTTCTTGAGCAGGGAAATGCTGCATTCCGCAGAGGAGAATACAAACAGGCCGTCAAGTCTTACGAAGAAGCACACGAAATTGAACCAGAGCTACCTCATTACCAGCTAAATCTCGCAGCTGCACACCTGAAACTAAATAAGTACGTAACCTAGCTCGCTAACTTCGATGCCTAACATTGACTACTTGACTAGCTGGATGGAAGCCGAAAAGGCATGCACTAAAGCCCTCAGTCAACACCGAAGCACCAAAGGGCTGTTCCGACGCGCGAGAGCGCGACGTATGCTCGGGCAATCAGAAGAAGCCATTGCCGACCTACGTGCCATTATCCGATTACAACCCCATAACGCAGAAGCACTAGCTGAGCTGCTGTTTCTCCTCCCACCGATCCCCGAAGATACCACAACCACCCTTGCATCGTCAACGTCTAAGCAACCTACCACGACCGTCGAGGCCGCTTCTGCGCTGTTGGCGCAATTAGGAATACATAAACCGAAGAAACCTAAACCTATACCCTTTCTGAGGACGAAAGCGGACAATCGAAAGCTGAAGATCACTGCAGTTCCTCAAAGCTCAACGACGATAAACCCAGCATCTATATTCAGCGGCGTTGAGTTTGAGGAAGCTGGGCAAGGGCAAGGGCGGACGTGTGGGTCGAATGATATGCGGAATCGGACGAGTCGACCGGGGAAAGAGAAGGCTTCGTCGGCGAAGACGAGGGAGATGGAGAGATTGAGGGGGGAATGTGCGCCGTATCTTTCTTGGGATAGGTATTCGTTGCGCAAGGCTGATTGAAGATGGGGGTTTTGGTTGGATGGATGGTTTTGGAGATGTCGTTTGACTTCTCTTCATTGTTGGGAGGAAGGGGGTGAGGATCGTTTTGGGTTATTCATGTCCTTTTCTTTCTTTTCTAGCTCCAGCTCACTGTGAATTGACGACGACGAGAAGATGCACACGGGAACGATTATTGGTTCATTCGTCTCAACCAAATTTGTATTATCATACTGCATGCCCCTTTTTATATCCATTCGATTTACATGACGGACCAATGGTTTGTGATCATAGTTCATCTCTTTGTTACCGTAACTATTACAAACCACCCTTGTATCACCCATGATAATGGCTGGTGTGGACACTACAATGCACACCTGTCTGTTTAGCATTGTGTGGGGGGTAGATATTGTTCGGTGTATTGGGAACCCTCCACATCTCGAATGCTGAAGTACGGCATCTCCTCACCAGGTTGAAGGGAGGAATTCGACCACGGGCCTTCATAAAGCATCTGCTGATCACCGGTTGAATCGTGCATGACATAAGGCTCTCCTCTAATCCAGAGAACATCGAGTTCTGCAAGATTTCCTCTATTTTCATCCACACCAGCAGTGGCGATGAGGAGGGCCTCCATCGAGCCCTCAGAAATGCCAAGGGCATAATCGGGCAGTCCGCGATGTGGAACGAGCTGCTTCGGGTCGGTAATGTCGTAAGAGGCGAGAAGATTAGGTTGAGAGTGCTTGGTCCAAGCCTCGGCCGCTGTCATACCGGCCGGTAAGATGAGTTTGGGTCGAATGTCGGACCAGACACTATCTTTTGGAATCATGGGAACTGTGGCGGGATAGTTTTTTTTTTGTGAGAATCAAATTGAACTCCTCACTTCAATTGAGATCCTGAAACTGTTTGGCCATTGCGGTTAGAGAGCGCAAGAGAGAGGGTGAGACATGCTTACACCTCAACTTCTGAGGGGAAGAGCTTTGCGATAGCTTCCATATCCTGCTACTGGGTGACGCAGTTCCCTTGGTTTTGAGTTTACCCCCGGTGGCCAAGAGGTGTATTGCATGACAGACGCAAGGCGAGGTAGTGTTTTCGAGTAGTAATTTTTGGGAAAAGGATAGGCTGTGAACATGTGAACGATCACGCGCCTCGACGACAGCATGGCTTGGCTTTTTCAGAATCTTCTTTCCCGCCGCGTCTCATGACCGTTTTGTGGTTTCTCAAACGTTTCCCCCGGCTCCGAGTCGTGATCATTTCTTTATTGCTAACCACCGTTGGGTCGTTCTTGGTTTATATTCAGGGTTTAGTGCAGGATGAAGGCCGGCTTCTTGTCGTGTTCTCACCGAAGAACATCTTACCGAACCCAAACGGGCTTCCCAAAAGACTTCGAGCAATGTGCGACAGAAGCGACGGCATGGTTTGAACGTCCGTTCCTATATAATACAACGGCTATCATTCTGCCTACGTATGTAACCGTACCCTATGTACATACAAGTATCAAGCCCCAAGCTCCAAATCTCATCCCAAATTGCCAATCCGGTTCAAACTCCAAGACGATCAACTGTAAAAGACCCTCGTTGGGGAGTCCCCAGGACCTTGAACCTCCCACTCAGCATCAAGCGTAACCTTTGCCCCACTCCCGACCTTCCACCGCCACTCAAACTTGCCCTCCTTCTCTCCACCCTTTCCACCTTCAGCAACCTTCTCCCACCCAACCCTGAGCCCATCCGTCTTCAAATCAACGATTTGCCTGTCCTTGGCTTCCGCCAACGCCGCTGGTTTGCGCAAGATAACTTTGGTGCGCTTGTCCTGATCACATGTAGGAATAACGTCCTTCACAATCAAGTCGTCGATGACGAACGCATGCTTGTTGTGAAGCGATATCTTGGTAGTGTATGTGGTCGTGTTGGTTGTCTCGGAAAAGGCACCCCCGCTTTCTTTGGCGGTGCGTGAGGTACACGAGTAGGTCACCTTGGTGGATGCGTCGTCGCCAAGAGTGCAGTCGAAGTTGTCGCCTGTATTTATATCCTATGGAGAGAGAGCACGTCAGTACGCATGAAGAGGTGCTGGGTAGAAGGAACTCACTTCAATTGATGTCCTAGAGACGTAGCTGTCATCCAGGATAACGGTAACAGGTCCAGCGAGCAGTCTATACTCGCTGCTATTCTTAACTTGGCACTAGACATGATGCATGTCAACTCATTTCACCTTCCTTAGACAAGAAAATCGGACATACCTGGAGGTAGACCCTCGGTTCAATTCGAGGGACACTGATATAGGAAATTGTAGCTTCAAATGGCAAAACAGCAATCACAACCTGATGAACGACGTCATCGCTTGGGATCGTTGATTCTCCCTGGACGGAGTAGGAGATAGCAATTGGGGTTTCGGCCACGACAGTCGTGGGCTCGACGCCAGTGGTATTTGGGGAAGCCACGTTCTCAAAATCGTCTTCATCTGGAAGGGGGTGCCCTTCAGCAGAGGCGAGTTCTGCTTGGTATTGCGCCAGGAGGGTGGGGTCGATCGGTAGTACTTGTGGCGATGGAGCTGCACCAAACGAGGTACCTGGTGTGGAATGAGATTGTCCGAAGAGGGAATGCTGAGGTTGATGAGGTTGTCCGAAGAGGGAAGGTTGAGGTTGTTGCTGGGATGGAGCTGCACCAAACGAGGTACCTGGTGTGGAATGAGATTGTCCGAAGAGGGAAGACTGAGCTTGTTGCTGTTGCTGGAACTGCTGGATTTGCGGTTGCGGGATTTGCTGCCCAAATTGTGGGAATCCGAATGCTGACCGCTGCTGAGATTGGTTCGCGAAAGATCCAAAGCCTCCACTAGAGCCAAAAGCTGCCTGTTGACTCTGGAATCCACTCGCTTTCTCTCCCGGTGGAACGTTGCTGGCACTGAACGATAAACCTGGTACAGAAGGGCCAACATTATTGCCAGCGCCGAACAAACCGCTGGTAACATTGGCTGTAAATAAGTCACCAGTGAGGTTCACCTTATCGTTGGGATCGAATGGATTCTTACAATGGTTATTGAACGCTGACGGTCTCTGAAACACATTATTGAAAGCGGGAGTTGCCTTCGAAGGGTGGAGCTTGAGCGCGCGAAGTTTTGGAATGGCCTTGGTTGTCGTCCCAGTGACGGTGCTCAAGGTGAGCAAAGTGTTATTCCAGTCTTCACCGGTGCTCTGAGTGACGCGAGCACGGTAGTGCAGCGCAACAGAGTTGGACGGCTTCCCGTTCTCTGTAGTCGCATGCAGCTCGTAGGTCGGCTCCCAGGTTGCATTCGAAACGACTGGAAGGGAATAATCAGTAAAACGGCAGCTATATGTTGGCAACGCTTACTATACGTCAGCTTGATTTCAGCATTGAAATCTTCATCAGCACCAAGCACGATGTTGACTTTTCCGTCGGTGGTACCTCGCTTGGAGGTGGACTTTTCGTTCTCAGCCTCAATCAGCCTCTCAAGCTCAATTATCTGCTCACTTAGAGAAGCTTCCTAAAAAAAGTTCACAACCACAAAAGAAGGCAAGTTCTCATAAGCGTCTACTCCCGAAAGAAAACACAGAGAAATTAATATTACAGCTTCAATGATCTTCTTTCCCTGCTGCATAAAACCCTCTAGAAATGCCGTCATCTGCTGCGGGTTGACATGCTCCCCCCCCAGTGTCCCCGCATACGCTAGCAACAGCTGTGACTCGTTGTTTCTTAGCGTTCGCTCTCTCTCCAAAGTATTCTTCCGGACTCTCAGCTTCCGAATGACTTCGGTGGACGAGTCAGGAAGGTAAGACGCAGATTTACTCGTGGCAATGGTGCACGCAACATCGAGCAAACGAGCAGCCGAGCCAAGACCTGATACGCGGACAGAGTGGGTATCAATGAAACTGGAGAGACCACGTATTTCCACATTGTTTCGACCTTTCTGTAAGACAGTTAATGGAGCATTTTTTTAGTACTAGAAAGACGTACCTTCAAGCTAATGTCGAAAGATCTTACAACCTCAGCCTTTGACGACTTGAAGACGGTAACAGACTTGATGGGATGATCAAAAGCGGAGATGGTGAAAGTGGAAGCCATAGTTAGTTGGCACGAACGGCTACGAGCTTCTTCGATTATATACAGGCAGCTGGTTGTCGGAACCGTTGCGGCTGTGGGACGACGAAGCAATTCATGAGTCAAACCACGGTCAACGGACCGTCAACCAATAGTAAACACGGGTAAACATCGCGATTCGCCTGACCAGATCCACAGTGAACACTTCGGGGACACTTGGTGAACACAGGACACGGATTTGCTTGTGAATCATCACCGATATACTCTGCAATTCGTACTGTCAACAAAAGTCGAACTACCTCGCTTATCGTTGAGGCGGGGGAAGGGGTTTACGGAGGAGCCAAGATGGGTACTGTGCCGAATGTCGGAACTTGGTATTGTGCTCGTTAATCTGAGCAGCTTTCTTGATCTGACCTGGGTATTGCTCCCTTTTAGTCAGTTGTAACAAGCAGCGGCTGTTATATTACGCAAGTTCGCTGTTCGACGGGGTGGTCAGCGGTGACAGATGAGCGCGTAACGCGCTTCGCGGTAAAAACAAAGGAACTTCCAATTGACTGAAGGCCAACGGACGGAATGTTCCACGAGCATCAGCGCTTCCGCACTCTGGCATGCAGCATCCCTTTTATCTTGTCGTTTGTGACACTACTGGACCTCAAATTAAGCGCCGTGGGTGGGAAGGAACACCAACTCCCTTCGTTATCGAGTGGTGACTCTTTCTCCTTGAGACGATGGGGTCGAATCAAGAAACAGCCTGCAAGTGCCCCGAAAAAAGCCGTAATCTAGTGGTTTGCATAGATGGCACGTCGAATCAATTCGGCCAAAAGGTTTTTGTTACACTTGTTTTTATAACCTCCTCGTATTGATCCCTCCACACAGAATACCAATGTCGTTGAATTATACAGCAAGATCGTGAAAACGGAGGATCAGCTCACATACTACAACAGCGGCATCGGCACTTACGCAAAGCCGTCCTGGAGGTCTGTCAAGTACGTGCTACAAGGGTTGGACAACCTTGTGGATCTTGCTATTGCCTGGCAAGTCTGGTTCTGAGCTGCCTCTAACAATTAACCATAACATTTGGTCTAGGCACTTTGAAAAGATCATAATGGGGGCCTACCGCTGGCTTGCAGACAACTATAAGGAAGGGGATAGAATTTTCCTGTTCGGTGAGCGCTACATGCTCTAATAGATGTTGCCGTCACTAAAACATACTAATCAGGCTTCTCTCGTGGCGCATACCAGGTCCGCGCGCTGGCGGGCATGATCCACACAGTACGTATTTGATCTCTTCTTGTGGGAGTGTCTTGTGAACAATTGGAAACAGGTCGGATTAATTCACAAGGGCAACGAAGAGCAGATTCCTTTGTAAGTGAGAACTTATTGCACCCTACCATTCTCATGGCTTTGCAGCGCTTACGAGTTGTACGCAAATCATACTCCGTTGACTGCAGCTACCGCAACTGTCCCACCACCAATCAATCTCCCGCAACGTTTCAAAACGACTTTCTCAAGGGACAACGTGCATGTTCATTTTGTTGGCGTGTGGTGAGTAGTTCAGAGCGGGTTAGTTCGTTGTCTGATCTGTAAGCACTCTTCACCGCATAGGGACACTGTATCTTCAGTGGGCATTGTTAGGGGTAAATCCCTTCCTTTAACCAATTCTGCCGAGCACATCTGCTTCTTCCGCCATGCACTCGCGCTTGACGAGCGCCGGGTGAAATTTCTACCTGAGTACGTAAACGGCGGCTCCGCGACCACAGGGAACACCACTGTTGTGCAAAATGGCCGACCACGCATCAAGGAAGTTTGGTTTCCTGGAACTCACTCTGACATGTGGCTACGCATTTCATTCACATCTTGTTCTAATGCTAACACCGGGACTGTCAGTGGAGGGGGAAATCGGGATAATCTTGACCTCGACCTAGGGGGGACGCCGTTTCTCTGGATGTCGTTTGAGGCCGTTTCCAGTGGATTGCGACTACAGTCGCCCAGGGTTGAGTGGCCTTGGGACAAATTGCACGAGGTGCAAGAGTCACTGACATATACTTGGTGGATTTGCGAATGGTTCCCCATCAAAAGGCTTTCGTATGAGGGCCCTGATTCTACGACCAACCTGTACGTCTCATCTCCATTCACCGTCAATTAAAAGGTTATCAACTGACATCAATCCATAAGCTGGCATCGAGGACAAGGACGAAAAATATTGTCTGGCCAAAAATTACACTCGTCGATCGCTTTTTGCCCTCAAGGTTACAATCCCAAAGCAGCTTTACCTCAGCGACCGCAGCGACGTCGTTGGGTTGAGATCGTTGCGGCAGGACAGAGATTTGATCAGGACTGGGCAGTTGAATGGAAGGACATCCTCGAAATGGATATTTTTGACCATGCCATCATGCCCGAGATTGTCAACAAACTCAAATTGGAACCAGAAGGCGACAACACCGTGTGGACTTATCGACTAGATATAATAACATCTACAAGTGAGCTTTTTCACACTACCGCTACACTTACTCTGAAATGAAATTTAGACCAAGGGCGAGAGGCTTTGCTCGGCGTCCCAAATGTCATGCGCGATCTTGTTCAGATACTCGAATATGCAGTACCAGAGACTCGAAAGTGTGTTACGAAAGTCCTGGAAGACCTGGAGATGTTCTTGTATGGAGAGTGTAAGAGATATATCTTATAACCGGAGAGATCCTTGCTAAGTCAAGTATCATAGCCTCTGAAATCCAGGCGGATGATCTGGAGGAGGCAATTTCCTACCACAGGGAAGCACTCACCTGTCGTCTTGATACACACCCAGGTCGCTGTAGTTCCCTCAACAGCCTCGCGATGTACCTCCAGGCTCGGTTTAACAAGCTGTCTTCCAAAGACGATCTAGACGAGGCGATTGGATGTTACCGTGAAGTACTTCATTTGCGCCCTTCTGACCACCCAGATTATTGCATGTCTCTTACCAACTTGGCCAATGCTCTTTTTGCCCGTTACGACTATTCGAGAGTGATGAATGATCTCAATGAGGCGGTGGTATGCTATACGGAAGCAGCCGATTCCCGTCCTCTTGGCCACCCAGGGCGTTACAACAACCTTGCGAAGGCTCTCCAGGCTCGCTTCAACCGTTTGGGTGATTTAGGTGATCTGCAGGAGGCGATCGAATACGATTATAAGGCTCTCGATTTACGTCCCCCCAAACACCCAGGCCGCTCCCACGCGCTAAGCAAACTAGCCAATGCCCTTCTTGCCCGCTACGAGCAAACAAGCATGATGGGAGATCTGGATGAAGCAATCGAACGCAGCCGCGAAGTCCTCGAACTACGGCCGCCTGGCAACCTAGATCGTTCCAGTGCGCTCAATAACCTTGCCACTGCTATTCTTGCCCGCTACGAGCAGCTAGGAAGGGAGAAAGACCTGACAGATGCAATCACGTTTTATCGTGACGCTCTCGCTCTCCAAACCGAAGGCCCCTCATATCGTCCCTTTCCTCTCAGTAATCTTGCCAGTGCTCTCCTCGCTCTTTATCAGCACTCGGGTGATATGAAAGACCTGGAAGAGGCAATCAAACTCCACAATGACAGTCTTTATCTCTATTCTTCTGATCACCCAGGATACACACTCTATTCTTCTGACCACCCAGGGTACTCCCACTCCCTCAACAATCATGCCAATGGCCTTTATCTGGGATATTTGCACTCAGGCAATTTGGTAGATCTGAATCAAGCAATAAAGAACTATCTTGAAGTGCTGGCGCTCTGCCCTCGTGGTCAGCTGGACCGCCCCAGCTGCCTTAACAACCTCGCGAATGCTCTACTTACTCGCCATAAACAGTCAAACAGCGAAGAAGATTTAAATGACGCAATCGAGCACCACCGCGAAGCGCTTGATATTTGTCGCCCTGGCCATGTCGGTCGTTCGAATTGCCTTCAAAGTCTTGCCATCTCTTTAATTGCACGGTTTGACCTATCCGACAAAATGGTCGATTTAGAAGAAGCCATCAGCCATCTCCGTGAGGCACTCATTTTACGTCCACTTCATCCAGGCCGCTTCACTTCCCTCGACGACCTCGCCACCGCTATTTTCACTCGCTTCAACAAGTTGCATGAGATGGATGATCCGGATGAGATGGGTGATCTGGATGAGGCGATAGAATTTCACCGTGAAGCACTCGCTTTACGCCCCCCTGGTCACCGGGCCCGTTTCGAGCCTTTGCAAAAACTCGCCTTTGCTATTGTTGAGCGGTATCAGCGGCTGCGCAACGAGGATGATTTGAACGAGGCGATTCTATATGTCCGGGAAGCAATTGAGCTTTGTCCCCCTGATGACACAGATCTTCACGAACTTCTCATTGAGGTTGATGCTGGTCTAACTGGGGACTTGGAACAATCCGACCATGATCTTGATGAGGAGTTGCCTGTGATTGAGCAGCAAATCGATCCATTACAAGCCTCGCAGACTTTGGACCTCCAACAGTGAACCTTAGGCAATGTTCTTTTTGTTCGAACATGACTGAATCCAGTTTACGGAGTATACTGCTACACCACCATTGCTTTGTATCTAGATGAATTCAATGCCGATCTTGCAGCACAATATATGCGTCACATGTTGCCACCTACCGCCAGCCGTTGACTGCTCTTTCCTAATTCAAATTGAAGAGACCATACACCTGTATCGGGTTTCAGTACCAGTAGCCTCAATAAATTTTTATGATAAACGAGTGTGAGTGAAATAGAAAGTCCAGGCGTACATTACTCTCAATACAGGGGTAGGATGTTATGTAAATGTAGAATAGAATGTCCGAGAGTCAGTAAGTAGCGCGTCCGTTGAGTAGTTTACGCCCCGTCCCCGTAAGGTAAACCCCTCAAGGGGCAGGGGTAGCACCAGGGAAAACCGGGTCCTCATACCGCCTCTCAAAACCATTCTCACGACGCCGAACAGCGGGCGCCACAGAGACCGTCGGAAGGGTCTTGCAACCTGAGCTGGCGGGCGCGGGGTGTGCGGCTGGTGTGGGTTTGGTGCCCTGGTACCATGTGCTGGTGCCGTAGACACCCATGGGGAGGCTAGAAAAAATGTGAGATTGGGTTAATGAGGGGGAACGAGGGACTAACGCATCATCGCCAACGCAGTTCTCGAATGTCCCTGCGTTGTAGTTTGCGGGCATGTTCTAATTTCCGAGGTTTAGCTATTGGAACGAGCGAAATAAGAAGGAAACGGACCCAGTAGCATCCCATGACGTCGTAAATGTGGTTACACAAGGACGTGGCTTTGGGGCCGACACAAGCGCGGAAACAGAACTCGCCGTCGGAGATGAAGGAAGTCCATTCGTGGTATTGCTGGCCTGCACCGAAGGAGTTGCCGTAAACCAAACCACCAACTATAAGGAGATTCGTCATTATCATTCTCCAAAGGGTATAAAACACTCACTAGGATTTCCCCTGCCTACAATCACGCAGAAAATAAATTAGCTCTTCGCTCGGTAGATCAAAATAATAATAAAAAAGAAAACGCACCATCTGCACCCCTGTTATCCAACTCGCCTCCATAATCGCCCTTGGGTACGTTGATCTTGGTGAAATCACCAACACCAGTGACCTGAACGTAATCGGGCGTCTTGACGAAATGAACACCTTTCAAAGCACCGTTGGGGATGGTACGCGTGCCGCGTCCAGACTTGGTGCACCATGCGACTTCAATTTGCTCCGTGTCGCCAATGTTGCCAGGTGTGGCTGTGAAAAGAAGTTACATATATAATGCGAGCGGAAATAGACGAGGAAAAGACATACGTGGTGCCCAGAGACAAAAATCATCAGCGGCACTAGACGTCGGACGAAGTCAGGAGGTGCATGTATATATATGCGCAAAAAAACGTACTTGATCCAAACAGTTTGACATTTCGAAGTCTGGCTTGACCCAGTACCGCAATTATTCGTGCCGTACTGGCCGTTCTGGGATTGAGCGGGGAGGGCGTTTACCATGTAGCCGGTGTTCCAGAATTGGTTGGGGTTCTTGTAGGAGCAGGTCCAGACTTGGATCTATGCACGTGTATTTAGGATTCAGGGGTAATAGATGAAGGTGAGGAAGCAGGCTTACGCGATTACCATCGCTTTGAACACCGTCGGTGACGTCCACGCATTTGTTCTTGTTCGTCCACTTGAGGGTGTTATCCCACTACGTACAAACGCGCTATTATCACCCCCCTGTGCCGTGAGGAGTCGAGGAAGAAAATAAGTACCACAGAGTACTGCCACTGCTGGTTAGCATTATTGGTAGAACAAGTCCAGATTTGCAATTTAGTCCCGTCGTTGTTCTTGCCGTCGGTTACGTCGAGACACTTGTTGCCAAAGACGGTGACCGTAGTGCCGGTAAAAATCCATTTCTGAGCCGCAGCGCCAGTGCAGCCTTGGAGGGTGACAGCAGCACCATCGGTATTGGACGACGCGGTCAGGCACTTTCCTGGCAGGAGTGAAAGATAAATTCGGATCAATGAGGGGAGTTTAAAGGTAAACACACCATTGTTGAGGACAGTCTGGAGGAGCAATTCGCCCTTGAATCTTTTTGAAAAAACAGGCGGGTAAGCCAAAGACGGATCGGATCGTAAGTCAAACGACGTACGCAGGGGTTTGTGCTCCAACAGAGGCGGCGAGGAGGAGAGAAGCCGCGAAGGCTTCAAGAAGGAGGGAACGCATATAGTTAGGTTGTGGTAGGAGGATGTAAAAGAACGTGGGGGTAGTGACGATGCACTGCTGAGTCGGAGGGGGGGAAAAAGTCGACGCGGGTCGGCACAGACAAAGCCTGATCCCGTCGTTCTTATATCTTGCATATTGAGCACCATGGGCCATTCATCACCAGGTCCAGGGCCTGTATTGAAATTCAAAAGAAGAGGGGCACATCAATCAGACCCTTCGAGATGCGAGTCAAAACGGATTCGAAGACGTTCGTTGAGATCCATGTCGTTCGACGCTGGTGCTCGCTGGTGTTGTCTTTGCAATTGGTTGTGTAGGAAGACGCCGCCGCCGTGTAACGCCGCGTCCGCTTTTCCGTCAGCGGCTTGGCAGGGTCGACATGATCCTACAACCAACGACTTCACACAAAAGACTCACTCCACTGCAGCAAATCATGCATTCACGATCTCAACATTCAACGACATCCTGTATTGACATTTTATCTGATTTGCATAATTACATGGTCTCCCAACTTTCGGCTTTGATGACGGTAAGAGTACCCGCAAACGAAGCAAAGATTCACCAGGCCAGCGGGCAAAGCGAGGGGTTCTCCTCGAAACAACATCATTGACCCCCCTTACTGATAGCAGGAACCCAGGAGCCCCCCTCGTGTGCAAGCTGAATGATCATTTGCCCTGAACCCACTCCAAGCGATGCTCGGACTGCACTGTGCTGAAAGCTAGCCAACCGGCCAGCTTTGACCCACAGGCAATCCCTCTCCAAGTCAAGGATACCCAACTCGGAAAATGACATGCCGTTGTGCAACAGCGGCTCGAAAGTCACTGTCCACCAACGATAGGAATCACGAATGATCCCAGAGCAAACATAATAATCATTAGCCCTAAAGCCACGACCAAATGATGCTCGGACTGCACTGTGCTGGAAGCCCGCCAACGGGCCAGCTTCGACCCACAGGCAGTCCCTCTCCAAGTCGAGGATACCCAACTCGGAAAAGGACATGCCGTTGTGCAACAGTGGCTCGAAAGTCACTGTCCACCAACGATAGAGATCACAGAGCAAACATGGTTCGTCAACCGTATCGAGCTTGACACGACAGAGGATAAAGACGGGGGGACTCAACCGTCACACTGGTTCATCTGTCAGTACAATGGCTAGGACAAAGACGAGGTACTTAGCGTTGAAGGAACCTCAAAAGCAACTGGGGCATGCTCAACGAATGAGCGGGGTGGAAAAAATTGGGACAGCAGACATGTCCGAAAACTTGAGCACGCACATGGACCCACCTCAGCACCCAGAGGATGCCAGAGGTCAGATTCCGCGAGTAACGAAGAACAATGGGATACACCACAACAACGCCATAAACCGACACCTCCTCGTGCGCGGACAACCAAACCAAATTGCTGACTCTCAATACTCCGCTGTCAATCCAGCGGAAATGCTCGACAAAGGCAGCGTAAGCACGTAGTGCATGTGAAGTGTGTGATGATGATTCATCCATCGACAGATCTGTGTGAGAATGCTGTGTGCGATGCGTTTGTAGAACGACAACCTGTGACTGTTGTGATGAGCGACAACGAGTTCTGTTGCGCTGCTGCTCTTTACCCAGTGTGTTCACCGGGTGCGAAATGGACCTGGAGCCAGGTAGTGACCGCTTTGGGTCAGGTTCCATACGTGATGTGACGTAGCGTCGGCGATCCGCAGGGAATCAACAGTAAAGGCTACCACGCAGGAGCTTCGAACTGCGGATAGTACGCGCTTAGAGCACGCTCTAGGCGCACATGGTAGGGCCCCCCGAAAAGGGGCCTGAACAGCTAGGACAAAGGAGGCGAAGCCATCCTCCGCATAGCCACTCGATAGGAGCAAGATTTTGTTTCCGGCAGGTTGATACATCTGTAACGGTAGAAGAGGACGACGCCGACGGCTTCGCCGCGAGGCTGATGAGGCCCCTTGATGTGCGTCGATAGAGATGTCGTGGTGGTGTCTGGCGATGAGTGAATAGAGTGTGCCACTGGCCTACCAAACGGAAAGACAAAGCGGTTCGGACATGTGCCCGCTCGCGAGGATAGAGGCTTAGCTGCGAACAGCTAGCATCTTATGTGGAACGAGCATCGTGAAACTGAGTCTGCTGTCGATGATGGGCGTTCAGTTGAAAGGAGCATGTTGCGCGAGTGTGTCGGAACAAAAGGCATGAATGTCGTCGTGTATTTGGTGGTGTATGGCAAAAAGCGACGACATCAACAAATTTCCGTCTCAAGATTGCTGTAGCCAAGTAGGCTCGACACAGTTGTTCACTTTCCGCCGAAAACCTTATTCTTAAAAAGGAGCGATATCATGTGATGCCGGAAACAAGGCGCGGTCGCGAACTCGCGGAAGTTACTAAGTCCTTGGTTTTGTATTTCAGGAGGGAATTGCTCAATGGACAGAATATATAGTAAATGCGCCCTAAGTTCTATGATGCCAACTAAAGCAAAGCCGTATATATTGATACTAATACACCTTTTGGGACAGTGGGTAAGTAATCAGTGGCGACTAACAATCGCGCCCACCTGGAGGTGTCGTTTCGCGCCCCGCCATCTGCATCCCGCCCTGAAATCTACCCCGTATGTTTGTCGTTGGTGTGGGACTCGCGCGGATGAGAGTTGCGTCAGGCGCTTGCAGATGAGCGATGATGTGAGGAGCGAAGCTCCGTGTCGTGGGTCGCTTGGATATTCCCCCGCCCTGAAATCCACCCGAGGGATGTTTGCCGTTGGCGTCGGGCTCGTGCGGATGGGGCCATGCCTAAGTGGTGTCATGCTCGTAGGCCGTGGCTTGCTTGTGCTTCACCGTTGGCGGCTTTCATTGTACTGTCGGCGCCGGGCACTTGTCGTCGTTGGGCTCACCTTCGTGCCCTCGCTGGGTGTGCTTTGTGTGGTCGGGGCGGTATTTCCGTTTGTGATACCAACGCCGGAGTGGTCTTGAGTTGCAGGGCTTGCGACATTGGCGGGGGAGTTTGAGAGCTGGTGGCAGAAAGATCATTTGTTTGTTTCGCGTCGTGTTTCCCCAGGTCATGTGACGTTTTACCATTTCGAGCAATAAGGTTTTCGGCGGAATCTCAAAAGTGGCTCGACACCAGCCGTTATTTCAAACTCCGATCGTCGTTGAAGTAACGGCTGGTCTAACCTGTTGTCACTTTGGCGGGTCACGCATTTGTGACAAAAGACTTAGCGAAATTTCGATGAACGACGCGCAAACAACCTTAGTAAACTTCGTTGAAGACACTGCTAAGCTCGATTTCTGGTGCTTCCTCCTCCCAGTCACCTTCAAGATACTCCCCATCATCCTCTGCATCCATACTGCCCCCTATATCCATATCAAATGCGACATCTTCAATCCCCAACCTCTCCAACGTCACGTCACCATCATCTAAATCCAACATTGAATCCTCAAAGTCAACCTCCTCGCCACCTTCGCCCTCGCCCTCGCTATCCACACCCGCCAAACTGATCACCTCAGGAGCGACTGCTACAGGTGGAATGACGTGTGAATTGTCAGGTTGGTCATGAGAAATTGCAGGGGTGGTTCGGGAGAGAGGTTCTGGTTCCACGATGGGGTTGGTGCTGCGTTGGTTTTGAAGGCGTTTGAAGGCCTTGTTGTACTCTGCCAGAGGATTGGAAGAACCGTCTGTAAGCTGTTGTAGTCCAACTGAAACCACATCTGGCACCGGAAAGTCGTCATTGTCCAGTATGCGGCCTTTCGTCAAATGGTAAACCTTGTGCTCGAAAAGGGAATCCATAAGAATTGTGATGTCTTTTGTGAGATCGGCAGGTGCATGCCGTGTTCCAATATCTGTCCCGAGCATATCTTTCATGGTCGTGGCGATATGGCGCAACGCGTTGACACATGGTGAGACCATTTCAAGCCATTCCCATGACCTGTTGCTCCCATGGGCTTTGTAGAAGGTCTGTTGTAGATATCAGTGTCCTAGGCGCTAGTCAGAAAAGGTAGAGACTCAGACCTTAATCCAGAAATTCATATGTTCTTGAACCAAATCAACCTCCACGAAGCTATTAGGTTTGCCGGTGGGATTCAGTAGCCAGTTGTTAAGGATGACCTCACTAAACAGGGTTGAATAAAATACTGGACAACGTTTCAAAAGAGCTCACCAGAGTTTCTTGGGCCAGACATGGGTAAGATTATGAATCAAATGTAGCATCTCATATGCGTACTTTGTGCGCCCATTACCACGAAAACTAAGGGCCCAAACTTTGAGGACAAGAAGGGCCCGACCAGAATCTCCACTCTTCACAGCATCAGTGAACTCTCTCGAGATAAGGGCATCACGCAAAAAAAGGAGTGCATTCTCGAAGACCATGTCACCCTCAGACCTTGCAGAAGGGGTTTCTTGTACTTGGGTCCCAGAGCGCTGCCACCGCAGCTCGTCTACAATCTTCGGGTTTGCGTAACAGTCGAGGATCTGTGTAGCATGTGACTGTAGATTGTCGAGTGTGTCCACGTTGGCGCTGTAATCCGCAAGCGATTTGCAACCTGAGACCAGCAAAAGACAATGAAGAACTCGTGCATATAAAGACACGAAAATGAGATCATGGCATACTCGGAATGTGGGTAAAGAAGTCACTGAGATCGGAAGACGGTGGAGTTGGGTGTTGTGGAATGCGAGGCAGCCAGGATTGCGTGTACCTGCATTCGGTTTACCCCAATGCGTGACGAAGAAACCATGCATGTTCGCAATCTTCCCATGGAATAACCCAGGCATCCATGCACCCCATCCAAAACTTGAATATCCTCCCTCATGTCCTGCCCTTATATTGGCAAGTGCCCGAAGTCGCGCAATTGATAATTGATCTCCTGCGAGAATCCGTGTGAGCCGCATCCACATGGTTGACTGATTTCGAAGGTGCAATTCCCGAACGATTGCCGCGTCGACATCGGCATTCCCGACAATAGTGGACTCATCAATCTTCCAAGTCGGTAATGGGTAAAGCTTTGTTTTATGTGTAGGAATTTGCTGGTTGGTCTTTGGGAGGGATTTGTTGAGGTCAGACTGGAATTTTTCGAAACCTTCACCACCATGGCTGACAATGATGCGCATGATACAATGAACAATGCATTTCCGGAACAATTGCGACTCTTCCCGTGTATGGAGGATGTCAGTGATGGATAAGGGAGGGGCAACATTGAATGACTGATGAAGATCGGACAATCTCATATCGTCTAAGGTGGCACCATGCAATGGCCAGATAGTAGCACAAGTGCCACTTTCCAGTGTATCTGAAACGAAGGTACTTTTAGTTGTTACACCCATCTTGGATTCTCAATTTGTAAATTACAAACCTTTGCGTCCAATAATTTGCTCAGCAGTCTTTGCCATGAAGTTGATATTATCATAGACGACACCATACAAGCCTGTTGCTGCGACATCCCTGGCTTTCTGACGCATAAAGTCAGACAGTTGCTTGAGTGTTCCAGCTACTTTCCGGATACGTTTGGGCTTCATTGAGTCTGAGACCGAAGAGGCAGATGTCTTGTCACTCTCAGAAGGTATCTTTGCGACAAGATTGGCATAACTTTCGGAAATGCCTAAATGCGAAAGAACCGTGATTGGCTGTCGTTGGGAGCCAGTAGCGTAGAGGTACAAGGCCATCATACGCTTGGTGACATTGTTGAAAAGACTGTATTCACCAAGACACGCCAAAATCGATGAGGTGATGACCTATGACATCAGAACTCGTAAGTACATTGAGGTCATGATCTGGGTTCAAGATAATTACCATTCTCTTTTTGCCCATTCTTGCAGGTGTGAGACCGCTAGCCAATTGTCTGGATGATGTGGCCAGAGACTCAAAGATGCAGGTGGTTACAGTCGCAAATTGGTTCCGAAGGCTCTGGTAGAGGTTCTCGAAACTGAAATCTTCGACAAAACCATTGTCGATAATTGGTTTTCGCAGAATTCCTTGACGTGTTATTGCACCTGCCTCGCGTGAAACAGCATTGGCAACATATTGGACTGCCCATTCATGGACCTCGCCCCAGGCAGTCATGCTGTTTGATGATGCTACCCACCAATTCAGGATTCGTGTGGCACGACCATGCTCGCGGAAAAAACCATCCCATCGGTGAGAGCCCTGCCCATTGTGTGGATCAAAAACATACTCATTCACCTCGCCAAGGCTAACATCCTGATTCTCAAGATATCGGAGAACATTTTCGAGACGTGACTTTTGCGATTCCTCCTCAACTTCCAATGCGATGGCCTTCGAGGTGGCAAGGGTCATTTGCCGCTTTCTAGCACTCTTTCTGCGCTTGATGGCAAGGCGCTCCTCCTTGGATCCAACCACTGGACTGCTCTGGATTACACTGGGGCTTGATAATGGCGGCAATGACATGGCTCGGTGTCGTGGTGTGTTCATGGGGGAACTAGGTGCAGAGGAAAGAGGGGAAGATGACTGATTCGTCTCTTCATCTTGT